TTGTATTTTGGTGCAGGAGAAGTGGGCAGTCTGTCTTTGCACACCAGGGAAATAAATCACATACTCCTCCTATGCTCAGCTTACCTTGTGCAGCAGTGCCATCTTTTTATAATGCATATTGTGGTGACACGGTTGTGTTTGCATAATATATCTATTCCTTTTGATCTTTATGAACGTTTTTTAATTGTGAAAGTGGAATTTGTGAAGTTCCTTTTTATCTGTTTGGATTGGTAGATGACAATCTCTTATTCCTTGTGGTGGGTCCCCACTTGGCACTAAAAGGGCTCATTGGGAATGTGTTCCCATCAGTGACCCGTGTCAGAGCCTTCTCCAACTTTTTTATTACTTTTAGTATACACGAAGAACATGTGTTGAATCTTAAACAGAAAAAAAAAAAAAATCTGTTAACTGTTACTGCCAAACTCTCTGCTCACACACTGTTGCGGGTCATATTATTCAACCATTTAGTAAAGCCATTTTGTCTTTTCTTTGCTAAAACCATGCTGTAACCTGTCTTGCCAAAATCCAGGTTTGGCTGAAGACGACAGATACTCAAAAAGTGGTTTACCTTAAACAGTTGTTGCATGATGACTGTCCTTATGCGCGCTTACACTTTACTTTTCACATATAGTTGAACATTGCAAGGCAACTAGGAGAGGGGGGCACTTACTGTACAGCCAACTACTACAAGTATTTTGATTCAAAATACTAACAAAATAATGCCCCCACTACTCTACCTTGTGTGACTAGAACAGTGTTGACATGTTTATTAAATTAAATATCACATGATGCTCAGTGATCTCGCTGGCTGAGTGGTTGATATCCCTCAAAAAAATAAGACATTATAAAATGTGAGATTCCCTTTACATTGCTAAATGGTACAGTTATTCATTCATTCATTTTTGCTTGTGTTTTTAATTCACTGTACATTCCATTGCAGTGAGATCTCTGCTCCTTTACAATAACTCCTCCATGACTTTTGACTTCCGGGGAATGGATATATTCCTTGTATCCCTCTGCTATCGGTTTGTCTACAGGAGTGATTCCCAAACCTGTCCTCCAGACCAGCAATAGTCCATGTTTTGTCAGTTTCTCCATTGGAATTAAACCGGGAAATACATAAATATTAGATTGTTGGTGGCCTACGAGGACTGGTTTGGGAACAACTGTTCTAGAGAATCACTGAAAAAACGTGTTTCCCCTTCTAAAATGCACGCCATAACCACACTGTTGCTGATATACCCCACTCATTAATATATGTTAAATCAAAGTAAATTTATTGACAAAGTACACCTTTTACGTCCGTACATCCAAAACAAGATTACGGGTCATTTTTACTTTTATACACTCCATGATCATTTATGTACCGATAAGAGTTATTGGGAGGTGAATTAATACCTCCTTTTTTTTTTGTGTAAACTTAAAACTTTTTAGCCATTTATCTTTATTTATACACCTTAATGTACACTATAGTTCCAACATGCACTGATTGTCCGGTTTAGACTGAGCCTAGTAACTATGTCTCCTAAAATTGTATGCTTGCAGCTAAATGTTTTTTATTCCTAAAATGTTTATCATGGTAATCTTTATCACTATATTTGATTGTGTCTGCATTACCCTGTCTCTGCCAATCATCTATGATCGTTTATTAATTAGTAATGTACACATTGTTCTTATTGATTATCGTGACTGCTCGGCTCAGCGGGTTGGAGTCTCTACTCAAAATGTAATAGTTTTACAAGACAGGCGTGTTGACTCGCGCTTTCTGCCCTGTTTCTCTCCTCTGATTTCACTTATGAATAAGGAAGGCAGTACAGGAAAAACTACAATAACCTGCTGCATTTATCCTCCACGATATAACGTTTATGGTGGCTTTAAACAACCAATACAGCAGGCACGTCACCTCTTAATATTATACTGCTACAATTATCCTTTAAATATGCAATTATGATGTTATTCACTGTATTGTTACTTTCCCTCAAATATTGCCAAATGCTCAAATGTCACTGTATATTTTACCCGCACCTTAAAGAAACACTCCAAGCACCATAACCACTGTAGAAAGCTGTGCATAGAATGTCCTTACACCCTCTCATGGCAAGTAGTCAAACCGTTTAAGAACCATTTTACCACCGAGCCCCTGCTGCCACCTCTGCTATAGCCAGAAGTTCCATGCATTGAGCTAAGCTATATACTGAGCACAGTCAATGGCAGGGCTTGGCACAGTGGAGTCAACTATCTGAAGAGAAGGGGGTTGCCAGTGGACCTTACATAAGTTGTCAAAAAGTCAAACTATGAATTACTTACCCTGGGAGGACACCATGGCTGTCCTGGTACCATACCAACTACAATTTACTGCGATGGTTATGATGCTAACAATTTTCCTTTAAAGTTTATATTGAGGTGTGAACTTCGAGGTTTAATAAATCATGCCATGTAATGCCTATATTTTCCCCTTTTTATGAGGCATCATTTGTTTTTGGAAGGCCAGTATAATTTGATTGTTCCTATTTTGTGCAGTCATTCCATCTCGAACCTGTTTATACCGATTTTTGCATTTCTACGGAGTGATCACAGTGTATGGTCTTAAACTTCCTTTAAAATGTAAGGACTGTTCACCTTTGCTAAGAACCATTCAGCCATTTACATCCCACTCCTTGGGGCAGCTGTGGCTCGGTGTGGTCCAGTTGCTTTGTGAGCTACATTCTTTCCGATGATGCTTAGGGTATAATCACTTTAGCTGGCTGAGCAAAACAGAATTGTAGTTATCAAGCATCTTCGTTGTCCTTCACTGCCCTGGGACAATCTCCATTTCATTGTAGTCACAAGCAGCATTAACCTGTATTTAAATGTGTATTTTCCTTGAACTATTTGTTTTAGTTTCAAGTTCCACTTGGGGTCTTGTTTAGGGCTGGTGAGATGTATGCGTGCGTGTTAGCAAAGTGTATTGCATTGTTTATTTTTAAAGCACAGCGGCCATCCTCTCCTTGATCTCCTTTAAATCTCCATGTGCCAAAGGGGCACAGAATGTTTTCCTTACCTCTCTGGCATCTATGAAATAATTTCTCTTTTCTTCCTCTGCAAAGCACATCTCCTTACACTTGCAAGCCACGGGCAGGAAATGAACAGCCCACTTGATTTGTGTCTTTAACCCTTACTGACCAGTGAGTGCTAGGCATGTTATGGTATGAAAGGATTTGCCTAAACCCTGGTACACAAACAATGGTTTATGGGACAGTGACCTGTTTAACATGGGTGTCCACATATCTTCTTATCTAGTCACACTCTTTTCTATGCTGTATTTTGGACAGTGCATTGTATGTTGGTACTGCCGTTACTACTCGTGTTTTGTTTTGTTTCTCGTATCACTTCTGTTGCTCACATAAAATTTTCACTTCGCTTTTGATTTTCATTTTTTTTTTTGTACCTCAAATAAATAAAAACCCATGTTGAACCCAAAAAACGTGTCCTGTGGTTTTTGATTGACTGACTGTTTAGCCTTGCAGTGTTGTTCCACACCATCATACAGATTGAGTTTAAAGAGGAATTGGCACGTGTTCAATGGTACCTTTTTAAAGGAATATTTGAAGCACCATAACCACTACAGCTCATTCTTGTGGATATGGGGCCAATTGTAATTAGTCGTGATTTATTTATTTATTTTTAAGTTTGACCTTTTACTTGGAGATGGAAACTCTCACTGACTGTTAACGCATTGGCTGAGCGTGATCAGATGACACTCTCAATCCGTGAGCTAGCTATGCAGTGCAGGGCTTTACTCCGGTGAGCTGACAGAACCTTGAGCATAGGAGCTTCAGTCTGCGTTCAATATTGGAGATGGGGAGCAGACCACAGGTAAGAAGTCAAACTTTTCTAAAAGCAAACTGCAGTTGTTATGGTGACCGGCATTTTCTATTAAACACCTGTGATATAAAAGCCTGGTAATAAACCAAGATATTGTAAGATGTAATTAAAGGAACCTGGTTATAACTATTTATTTTTAAGATACAATACATTGCCTATGGTGATGTTCTGTGATCCAATCGAATGCTTTTCATAGCATTGTAGACACTATGATACATGAGCAGCAATGTGGTCCTAGTTTCAAAATAAGAAGCGCCTCTTCCCATTTTGTTCTTAAAAAGCAGCCGTTAACCACAGGCCTACAAGTGAAGGGAGGTGTGACTGTACTCAGGGGCATATTTAGCAAAACCTCTCTATGTATGTACAATCTGCTTGAACCGTGACTCTTTCTAAATATTTACGATGTATTTTGTGTGTTTAATTGCCTTTTCCACTTTACATCTTTGTGAGCTACATGTAATGTTTGGTGAGGTAGCAACTGCATCCGGCGTTGTCATTTTTACCGTCTAGCACGGACACCAGGTGTTACTTAGCATTTATTGTTCCCTATTTATCTCTGTGGGAGACATTTAAAACTTTGGTCTGCCTGCATTGCCAGCTGTTAAACATTAACTTGCGTAGCGTGGAAGCAGCCTTTAATCGCTAATGATAGGCAACCATTTTAGCGTTTATCAAACCTGTCAGGAAATGATCACAAAAAGAATGGAAGCAAGCTATAAGTTTGTATAACTAATTGACATACCATCCATCGTCCCTTGTATTTGCTGAGAGTAATTAAAGGCATCTCAATTTTTTTGATTGCCTTTCTATTGAAAGATTTTATACTTGACAGCATTAACCAATAACAGAAAGAAAGGAGTTTATTCACTCTGTCAAATTGTACTGAATTGAAAAACAAACTGTCACATGCAATATTTATCTGATCTCAGGTAAAGGCATAGTGGGTTTTTTGGGTGTCAAATCAGTTGTGTAAGTTGTTGTTTTTTTTCCTCCTCAATCATTTGTGTTGAGCAATACATCGGTACCATTGCATGTGTAAAATGTAAACCCTGAATTAAGTATGCCACTATGATAAATTTTAGATTAAAATGGGTAACCGAAAAAGGATGTTTTTCTGGCATATGGTGGTATTACACAATAGGGATGTACTACCCCATGGAACAAGAATCTGCAAGAGGTAAATTAAAACAAATGTCCATCCCACTTTACTGTATAAAAACAACTCCCCTTCAGTTCTTCCTTGTCCCGTTTCTTGACGTACGAAAGGCACAGAACAAATTAAGAATGGTGAGGCACATGGGTTGTTGCCAAGGAGATTCGTCCCATTAACTGCTTGGTTGGAGAGCTGAGTGGCCCGACTCTAACCTATTGAGGTAACACAGCGAAATTGATATGACTCCTTTGAAGCGGAGTGTTGGTCCCGGCATGCAGGAAGAGGTGGTTCCGAATGGAACACCCATCAGATGTCAGGCCTTGCGTCTGCACACAGTAGTGGAACACACAACTGGAGGCCTTGTATTCCACAAAAGTTCTGATCATCCACTGCGCAGTTCCAAAATGGAACTTCAACATTTTGGCGCAAATTTCACATTTTGAAAGTATTTAAAGACGTGCAGTTCCTCCTGATAGCATGCTAGTCAGATTATACCGTGTAAACAGGGTCTTATGGTATAATGTCTAGTCCTCCTGTATCTCCTGAGAGAATGGACAAAGATAAAGTGCCTAATCCTGCTTATAAAAAGGCTACCTCTAAATCGAATCATCTGGCCTGCAGTGAATGTGCTACGCCACTCCCAGATGGCAAAAGAAAGAAAATCTGCAACCAATGCTCATATGTAATGTTGGAAAAGTCAAACAAAGGGATATGCAACCATTTCGCTCCTGGTTCCAGGACAATTTGGCGCAAAGCCAATTCCAGTGTACATATGATGGTTTAGGAACTTATTAGCAAAGGTCAGAAGAAGAGGTCTTCTTCCAGATCTGATTTATCATCAGGCGATTACTCTGCTTCCTCGTAGACATTTCCAGCATATCATGCTGTGTGGAGATTGTCTTCTTCTATTGCTGTACAACAAAAGCTAATAGACCTAATACAGGGGAATGGAAAAAACCCTTAAAATAAATAAATAAAATAAAGCCTTCATCTCCAGGCATTTCAAAGACATTTTTGAACTTCAAGGTGAAGATAAATGAGCGGAATTACCAAAGGTTGACATCCAGGTAGCACAGCTGTCCAAAAAAGACCGATTCCCATTGGTGAGTCTTTCTGGTTTGAAAGATATGATGGACAAAAGAGAGGAAACTTCCTGCAGAAGGGCCTTTCAAGCTGCCAGATTCCATTGCAGGGCAGCGATGGCAGGACCATCAGTGGCCAAGGCACAACGTTTCTGGCTCCAATCTCTAAAAGATTGCTTGATGAATAATCATGATAAAGATCTATGCAACTTGCTGCTGAATTTGAGATTAGCCAACGAATACATGTTGGGTATGTTGGTGGAATTCCTAAAACTTTGAGTCCATATTATGGGACTTTCTTCTGATTTCAGAAGAGCATGGATGGACTGCAGACACTGCCTCTAAAATAGATTTGTGTGAGTTACTATTGGAAAAGAACAACATTTTTGGGACATTTTTAGAAGCAATCATAAAGCAAATGTCTGAAACTAAAAAAAAAAAGCAATCCCTCAAGATAGATTTGGTTGGAAATCTGGATATTAAAACTTTCAGTTTTGGAATCGCAGTTCCTTGTGAAACCAGGATACATCTCGAAATTTTCACAGACAAAATAAAGATTTAAAGTTTGATGAAAAACAAAGTAACAGGCCAGACAAGAACAGAAGGTTCTGACACCAAAAGGGTAGGCAGAAGATCGCAACAATTCTATCACAGATGGGAAAAGACCACTTAAAAAAATCTGTGGCTCTTAAATCTTATAGCAAATGGTTACAAAATCAATTTCTCGGAAACTCCAAGTCCACGTTTCCTGGTGTCATCATACCCCTCAACAGAAAACAGAAGCCCTTTTCACAGAAGCCTTAGTGCTGTTTCAAAAAAAGGGATGATAGAGAAGGTTCCAAAAAAAATCAAGAATTTCAAGGCTTTTATGCTCTTCTCTTTCTGGTGCCCAAACATTCCTTCCGACCAGTACTTGACCTAAAGGAACTGAACAAGCTCATCCCATATCAGAAAATTTGTATGGAGGCTATTCTGTCAGTGACCCACATACTACAAAAATGGGATTTTATGGCCATCCTAGATCTCAAAGATGCTTATCTACACATTCCAATAGCAGTGACATCAAAAAAGTTTCTTAGGTCTGCGATAAAAAGGGGGACAACGACCTACCATTTTTAATTCCAGGCTCTTCCCTTCAGGCTGTTTTGACTCCAAGGATATTTATAAAGGCATAACCATAGTTCCATACCTGGATGATTGGTTTATAAAAGCAAAATCAAAGCATCTCCTGCTAGAGGTTGTATAGACCACTATTACACTTATAGAAGACCACGGTTGGATTATAAATCGAGAAAAGTCTCAGCCACCCTATCACCACATTTGACTGTTCATAAAAAGAACAAAATAAGAAGTCGTCTCCTACCTACAACTAGAATCAAACTGTTCCATAAGGAAAGCATTGAGCGCTCTGGGAGATCTGACTTCCTCCATTCTGGCAGTCATGTGGGCAAAGTCAACCATAAAACCTCTTCAGTGGGAGATTTTGACTAACTGGTTCAAGAGAGACGAAGACTTGGATATGACATTCAGTATCTCCACAGCTGAAGTCCTAAAACAGCTGAGTTTCGCTCAGAGTTCTGTCCCAGAAATTGGATTATTGTGACTACAAATGCTACAAAACTAGGATTACAAGGAAGTAATGTTCTCTATGCCCTCCAGCAATTCAAGGAATTTATTTTGAACAGATCTCTCAGGATTGAATCGGACAACAGCACAATGGTTTCTTATCTAAACAGACAAGGAGGGAAGAGGGTCAGAGATTGTCATATTCTTTGTGAGAAATTATGGCTTGGGCACAGAAATACTTGGAAGATCTGTCCGCTACACACATAAGAGACATCAACAATATCCTTGCAGATGACCGCAGCAGAGCGAAATGGTCTCAGACAAAATGTCACCCAGACATATTTTCATTTCTCATAAAACAAAATTGGGCTTCTAGCAGTGAACATGATGGCCAGAAGAGAGAACAGAAAGGTTCCTGTCTTTGTGCCCTCTACAGAAGAGATTATCCTCACTTCCTAGATGGTATGTTGGTCAAATGGGATTTTAAACTAGCATTTTTTCCCTCCAGTAAGTCTCATTCCAAGAGTGAATCTGAAGATTAAAATGGACAAGGCCGTAGTTCTAGCTATCCTCCCATCCTGGCCGAACTGAAGCTGGTTCTCGGAATTGAGGATGATGGCTTCAACATATTGGGGACTTTCACTTTTGACTCAACTTATAGTGAACCGGGATCTATCTCTGGAAACCATTCGAATGTTCAAATTGACGGCATGGCTGCTGCAAGGCTAATTCTGCACCATCATGGTATACAGAGAGCACTTTTAATCTACCACTTGACTCTACCAGGAAGTCTACATCTAAGAAATATTTGAGATTTGGGGTAATTTTGTTTTTTTCCCATTGGTGTAGGGACCATAACTGTTTTCAGTTAGTCCATAGATAGTCACCCATCTATGGACACCATGCTACATTTCCTGCAATGTGGTTTTGCCTCCAGTCTGAGTGTCTCTACTCTTAAAGTCCATCTATCTGCTTTGTGTCACTTCCTTGTTAAGGGTTTAGCTAAGAATATCCTGATTCTTACATTCTTCAAGGCAATCAGACCTCTCGCAAGTAATTCTTCCCTACCTGGGATCTATCTGTAGTGCTGAAGGCACTTTGCGAACCTCCCTTGGAAGAAATTTCATTAAAGCTATTCTCCACAAAAACTATTTCTGGTGGCTGCCATTTCATCTAAAATAGTTGGTGAAATCCAAGCACTGTCTTCTTCTGAGGAATCTACAATATCACCCAGATAAAGTCATCCTTCATCCAAAGCCTTCCTTTTAGTCTAAAGTGCTTTCTAACAAAACAATTAATCAACCTATTGTCCTCCTTCCTTTTTGTAGCGCTGCCTCTTCCGCTCAATAAAAGAAATGGCATATTTTGGATGTTAGGGCCTTGCAGATTTAAATTGCCCACTATTTATTTAAAATTCGGATAACCTTATCATCAATTTCAATGAAAAGAAGTCTTTAAAAATACGCTATTGAGATGACCGGTGGAAACAATCAGGTTGACGTATTCTTCCAGTGGTCTTCCGTTGTTACCGGTTTCAATGAAGGCACGTTCTACCAGAGCAATGGTACTTCTTAGGCAGAGGGATTGCATGCTTCACCTGAAGATATTTGTAAAGCAGCTACCTGGCCAACTTTTAACACCTTCATCACATATTACATAGACATTTTCTCATCCACCGAGGCTGCTTTCGGGTAGAAGGTGCTACAAGCTGTGGTTGCTTAAGTCCCACCCTGTTATCTGGGATCCTACTATATCCATACTGTATACTCCCACCATATGCCAGGAAAAAAAAATGTTTACTTCCCGTAAACTCCTTTTTCCTTAACCCCTTAAGGACACATGACGGAAATATTCCGTCATGATTCCATTTTATTTCAGAAGTTGTGTCCTTAAGGGGTTAATATGGTGGCAGTATAATTCTCCCTCCCTTAAAATGAATACCATTTAGCAGTATCTGAGACCGTGATTTTCTTGTTATGAACTGAAGGGGACTTGCCTGGTGAGTTCCTTTATACAGTAAATAGGAGGGATCTTGTTTTTTGTTATTATTGCCAGTTATAGAGTGCCAACTTATGCCGCAGCGCTGTACAATATTTATTAGCACTCTTTTAATGCAATCCTGTTATTCCAATGTATAAATGAAGCTGCAAATTACTTTACTGTATGAGGTAACTACTGTGCTTTGTATGGGTAATGCAGGAAGCGATCTATCCTTTTCTGTAGATACATTTCCACAAATTTCAAACGTTAAACCAAGAGAATTTCTCTCCCCCCTGTAACATTGGCGTAATGCTCCCATAATTCTCTACTACTCTATGGCTGACTGTGAGTTATAGGAGCTGTAGTTAGGGGCGGCACAGTTTGGCCAGCCTGTTCGAGAGTGATCTCATTAACACATCCCGCCCAAGGATATAAATGATAATTTGCTGCACAGAGTATTTCTCGTTTAGTTTTTTTTCTTTTCAGAATCTGATTTAAAAAAAAAAAAAAAAAAAAAGTCTTCTGTGATTGGCTGCTGCTGGAGAGGAGATGGAGTTGATAACGTGGGTCAAAGTACAACAGTTAGGAAAATAAAAATCAACAAAACATGCTGTCCGCGTACGCCAGAAAAACATGTTATTGACACCATCCTGTTTGTACAGATAAAGTGTCATGGGATCTAATAAACAGCTGGATTAGTCACGTCTATCTGTCAGTACAGGATTAAATATAACACACAGCCATATATAAGTTTATATTCACTGTAAATCTCAAATAACTGAAACAATGTCTGCATAACCTTAGGGCAATAATATAATATATTAGGCTATTTGGTGTAAATTTTGATAATCCTCTATTCAGTTCCCCGTAATTCACTGTTCAGTGAATAAACCCCCATGAGTTTTTAAACGCAAACAAATCCACTGGTCCTATATAGCCTGCATACTGCCATTTCGCGAATTTGCCATTTTTATTTATATCTACCACCTCTGCTGGGAGGCTATTCAATGTATCTTTATGAGGAGAGGGTGGGAGGGAAGGAAGGAGAGAGAACGTCTTTATTCTTTTCTCTCCTAAATGTTCCTTCCTTCTAAATCGGGAATCTTGGCTTTGCCAGGTTTTTACAAATATGTGTTTGAAGTCTAAAAAATAAAATAAAAAAGCAGAAATTCATGCTGCTTTATGGTGGAACACAGTGTTCTATTCATATCTCCCTGACAATCATTGTTGTAAGTTCTGCCCTTTTTAAATCATTGAACATAGTATGACAAGGTTTCTATTCTTGCAATGCAACTTGTTCCCTGGCTAATCTACATTTAAAACAAATGGAAGTATCACTTAACATTTTTTTTTTTTTTTTTTTAGCACAAGTTTATAGATGATTTGTAATATTTTACTCATTGCTGTAACTTCCAGAAATATGGTGGTTTGTTCTTGTTTATTACAATCCTTTAGATTTAGAGGATCTTAATAAATTTCAACACTACTGCCCCTTACTTGCCACCATTAAATTACACAGTGTTGAGAAATAATAGAAATTGTGTATATAAATATATATATATCTATAAATAGCTTGCAAAAGCTGTTGTCTGTGTAAGCCCTCCCCTTCTAACCCCGCCCAGACCTTCTGTGGATGTCCAATCACAGACTTCCCAATGCAGCTCAATGAGAAGTATTTGTAAGGCAGGTGCTCTGGGCAATTGGAGATATATATATAAATTATAACATGTATTGATCTTGCTACAGTCGAATCCTAAACATTATACCAAGTATATAAAAAGAGTTGAGCGCTGTTTGACAAAAACCAAACACACATAAAACAACAAAACACACCAATCACGCAAACATGGTCTTCCTATTCATCTGTATCGATATGATGACATTTATACTTTTGCATCACCATGCAGTCCAACCTTGATGGCAGTGCTGGGCAGAGAGTGGTGCATACATTTCCCCTTTAACATGATTTTTAAAGGTAATTTCTTGATTCTTCTATTACACAAATGATTTGAGATCAAAACTCCTTTTTCCCTTTGTATCCATGTTGCACACAGACAAATCCTCTGGGTGACAATACAATCGTCGTCGTCTTTATCACATCAATTGATTAATGTACTCTCCTGTGGCCTTTTTGGGTCAGTGGTTAAATGACCAGAATTATGGAAAGTAGATCCAATGTACAAATGATCAATACATTCACAAGAGTAGAGAGGGTGGTTGTATGGGGACCATAACAGATACAATGAATGGATTGTCATGGGGTTATAGATAAACATGTTCCTTCAAGTAAAATTAAGATGTTGTAGGTTGAGGATGAAAAATCAAATGAGTTATATACTCCTTTCTTAGTAACTACAGTATTCTCTGAGCATTCAGCTTGTCGACTAAAAATAAAAAAAAGTCCATGAGAATTCTATCCTGCAAGTCAAGTAAACTGCACACAAGGTAAATTATAGTGATTACATTGGCCACTGCCCCAACTTCCCTACTGAAGACTTTTTCAATAAGCTGTTGGGATCTCCTCCCAAATAAACTCACAGACTGAAAGGTCTTTGCACTAAGGAAGCACACTTTTTTGGAACTAGAGTAAAAAAATACTAAGTTTTTCTAGTATATCTTCTGCTTGGATACTCTGAGCTTCCTTGTACACAAGCTGGTAGGAAGGCTGATGTCCATCACTACATCAGAATAATGAGATGATAATAGGGTCTCACAGCAGAAGAGAAACCCCAAGTCCCTTGCCGCATTCTCTGTACTAAGCCAGTTCAGTGGTGGACACAGAATAATGTCACGTTATTCCATTATGTGTGGGTCCTCTTACTAGAGTTCAGGTGCCAGAGCATCTCGATCGCAGCCCTCTTTTAAACTTTTGAGTTTCCACCTCACTGCTACTGGAAGAGGCAGCAAATCCACCAGGTCCTTTTTGGCCAGGCCGTGAGCCAAAGTGCTGAGACATCTTTCTTCCAAGGTAGGTAGAGTGGAACTACGTAAACCCAATGACAACTCAATGCCAGGCGCTGTGGAGGAGACCATTGGATATAACGGTGACAGCACCTTAAAACAAAACAAAAAACTTCACAAATGGCTGTAAAAAAATAGATCTTTGGCCTTTAATTACTTAGTAAATTGTACTTCTTTATTATTACTTATTAAATTATTGTAGTAGTTATGGTGCAAGGAGGATTTGAGTGAGATCTCCCCATTATTTATCAAACTATTTGAGAGCTTTGATAAAATTAGGCTTCTGCTGGTACCCAAAGATATGCAGCACAGGTGCCTGGCGAGACCCAAAAAAGTTGTCAAGACAATTTGACATCTTACTGTGGGACAATGTCAGGCATTCCTGGCACCTTAACTACCTCAGTGCACTGTAGTGATTATGGTGCCAGGAATCCCTTATTAACCTCCCATGGCAATAAGTTAAGTTGTTTTTGAATGGTTTGACATTTAGCTCTGTCCCTTGGTCCATCAGACCTTCTGTAATATTGCGAAACTGGAAATTCTCAATCCGTTTTAGCAATACAATGTATCTATATAATTGAGAATAGGAGGTCGATTTTAACTCATAGTTTTCCTTTTAATTTGGGGTTATTTTACACTTTAAATCAGTGCCGCTTCACTTGTAAGAAATAAATAAAACAAACATTACAATCAGAACACACATTACTGCTGTCTGGGTTGTTATGCCTCCACTCCTCCACCTGCAGTTCCATATGTGTCCAGTGGAGACAGAGACCGAGTATTTTAATTTTAATTCTCACGTGCATCATGTCCTTTCTATGCAACAATTTTAGAGACACTCTAGGCACCATAACCACTTCAACTTGCCAGCTAACTGTCAGATAAGGTTAGAATAGTTTTTTTTAAAGATTTATTTTTAATTTGGGGAATTAGTTTTGGGCCATAATATAAACTGTCCTTTCACTTAAACCCTTTATCTCTCCCAAAAAATTGCTTTGGTATTGGTATTGTTCCCCTGTAAAATATTTTAGGGGGAAAAAAAACCCCATAAAACTAAACTGAATATTTGTGAATTGAATCTGAATGGAAAAACGGAGGCAACAAACGCTGATCTGGAAAAACTCTACAACTTGGCTACTTTTGCCCCGGTTTTACCATTTTGAATTTGCTCAGTGAAAATTCTGAGTTTAGTAGATAACGCACATGTCAGAATGGGTTAATTATCATCATCATTATTATTATTATTATTTTTTATAGAGCCAGCAAAATTCCGTAGGGCTGTACAATGGATATAAAGAATCATTACGCAATGGTCTACTCTCTTTAACATTTTGTAACACGTGATGTGAACAGCACCCTCTAATGTCCTATGATCTGTTAATATACAGGTATATCCAGGGTTAATATATCGCCATACACCTTGTACCCTCTCCACTTGTACCTTATGCAGCCCTGTGAAGGCCAGTCCCAGACATTGTCTGTTTTTGTAAAATGTCAGTGTCCCTTCCTTTAGGTTCAGATGAACTCCGATCACAGTGCCTCGATCATAGAATGGTTCGGTGTATTGTCGGCTGCTGCATCTGTGCCAAAACGTGCCTTTATAAGACAATCCCCAGCTTTCAGTATCCTTTCCTGTGGACAGATCACACAAGGAGGTCAATGACCAAGCCAAATAGTCAATACAAAATAACAAGAATTAAAGAAGAAATGTGTCTCTCGTACTCATCAGACAAGACTCATACAGAATTAAAAAAAACATGTAGCAGAAGACACAGTGTTTGGGGAATATTTCCTAAATTGGAAATTGCAGAAAATTATAAGTTTAGGCCCAAAGTGTCAAACTGAAAAAATAAATCTCTATTCTTCTAGAGAAAATCTCGCATTTACCTTGTTCATTCCCCACAATTACTAGCATATTAAATAAACTCATGTAAAACCAAGTTTACATGCTATATACATCAGGCAAGCAACGTAGTCTATTGTTTTCATTGATGGAAGGATAAGCAGGAATGGTTATAACCAAATGTTACTTGTTTCTTTAATAATGCGTAAGGTCCAATGGTGGCGTGTTGTGATTTCAATGTGCATCACGCAGGGCCAGGCTGAAATATAGAGCATGATGGGAATCATAGTTCTCTACACCTGGTTTATCACATATTCCCTGAGTCTGTGTTTAGTTATTAAACTAGCTGTTAGTAGCATCTCAAGAGAAGACAACATATGGCTCACCCAATAAGTTAATGTATTCGTAGCTCCCAGCATGCAGTGCAGCTTTACTCGTGCCAACACCGACCATAACAGAATATCCAGAGGCTGGCTCCAAAAACTCTACTTCCCAGTAGTGCTCACCCTGAACAAAACCTGTGGAGAAACTGTGATTTTATTTCACTTTTATTATAATTAATTCATTAATTTTTTTTTTTTTTATTTATTTTAATTGTTGCACCACATTTAAAAAATGTTTTTAAATAACACAAAACATAATACCAAAAACATGATACATCACATTACTTGCTATCAATGTTTCATCATAAATAATAAATAATAAAGTAGCCCGCTCAATGCTCAGGCACTCTCAGACTTGTCCTATTTCACCCATTGATGGTCTCGTTTAGTGCAAAGATGGCCAGGAAGTAGATCTCACCATTTGCTACAGAACTACAGTTCCCATGATGCTTTGCAAGCCTTAGAGGAAACAGCTGAGGAAGTATACTACTGGGTTGGAGGAGAGCGTTCTGTATGTCTTCTGGCAAGACTATCTTTTCATGTTCTGTCTGGGTTCTGACCCAGCAAGGATGTGGTGTGTGGCAGGAAGTAAAGTCCTGCTTAAAACATTCCTTTCCTGCGAATACAGACGGACAAGGTGAGAGATGTGCCCCAGTGAAAGAGCAAACAGATCTCACCAATTCCTCTCACACCACCAACAAGATGCAAGTTGGAGAATAGAGTGGCCATATTTGGGTTGATTCCTGTCCTGGGGTAAAAGCGCGGGACACAGGGATCTGGAAAGACTGGAACTCTATGGCTCCCCAGCAGAAGCTTACAATGGTTAGAAAAGGATGAAGGGGGGATATAGGGCACCTGTAAGGCTACACTTTATCCCTTCCTAGAGTGAAGAAATATGCTTTCTGTTTCTGAAGAGCATTGGACATAAAGAGGAGCAACTATTACAAAATTATTATTAAGGATTACAACATCAATGGGCAGAAGTAAATAAAAGACATTAGAAAGATATGTAAAATATTATAAAATGTGCCATTAGGACCCCAAGTAAAAATAAATCTAAATAGCAGGCATAAACAAACCTGTGCTCCCACGTACTCCGGCCGTGCCACAGCTCTCCAGAACAGGATCAGTATGGAAGTAGACATCTCGCCTACATGGGGACAGCTCTGTGTCCGAGGACAGACCATCACTACTCCACGTCCAAGTCTCTTCCACAAACCCCTGGAGCAGGGGAGGTTTCATTGATGCTGGTCTGTGAACAAGTCACACAAAAAAAAGCTATGGTACAGGTTTTATCCACGTTCTAGTGTGCACCCATCTGGCACCAAACCCATAGTTGCCAAAACGTACAAAAAAGGCAGATACATCAATCACTCCCCCCCTCCCCCAGCATCCTACTTGCACAAGACCAGAGAAAAGTTACATGTGGCAATTAAGGCTAAAAGAATGAAACAGTAAACCATGCTTAGTTATCAGAAATATTTTTTAATATTTTAGCAAAATATTACATTTTCAAGTGCCCCGTCATTGTGTGTGCCAAAGGGGACACTGATCCTCAAATGGTTAAATAAATGCATGAAGTAGAAAGAAAATACAGCCAACCCATAGGTCAATGAACTCTTTGAGTAAGATGTAAATGCTGCAATATACTGCAATCATTCCAGCAGACATGACTTGGCAAATGCTGCTATCTAGTGTCAATCCCAGTCATTGCTAAGCGCACAGGTATTGGACCATTAGGAGAACATACGATCGTAGGAAGAAAAAAAATCATTTCACTGAGCCTGCTGTGCGAAAGGACATCACAACACAAGCATAAAACAGGAGGAATTCAGTATCCGAACAAGAAGATAAGACATGGGGGTTCTTATAAAGGATTATCCACTAAAATGAGAATTGTCAGGAAGTGAATTCAAAGTCAATTTCAAAGGCTAAAGTCGCTGGACAGGAGGCATAGCTCACTGAATTTGTCCAATTTTGATGTTTTAGCCTTATATCAGAAAACTCACTTTGAATTCCAAAAAAATCCCATTTCGTGAATAACTGTCAGTTTCTCTAAAAAAAAAAAAAAGTACTGTTTGTTCAGTTAATATGTTGAAAGAGATTCAGGGGTTTATTCGCTAAACTCTGAATTGTAGCAAACTAAAAACCAAATGCTATATTCTGGCAACAATTGGCAAGCTGTAACCACAGCCGAGACGGGAAATTGTTCTAAATCAGAACTTTCTACAATTCAGTTTTTAATTCACCACAATTTGGAGTTTAGTAAATAAATCCCAATGTACCATCTTCATTCAAATTTCACGTCTTCCTAGATAGTTCTTTCACACTTGCTTTATATCCACTAAAAAAAACTCCAGTTTAATCTTATTTAATGGCAGTTTCTTTACAGCTTTCTTAGGGGTAGAAATCTATCCTCACAAGAGATATTCTGCCAGGTCATATACACAGGGTTATTCACAGAGGCGGAACCAGACACCACCGGGCCCGGTGCTAAACAAACTGCTCTGGTCCCCTTCATCAGCCCCTACATGTGTCTCATTCCCCCCTCCCAGCTCCTTCATGTGTCTCATTTCTCACCACAGCTGCTCCATGCATCTCATTCCCTCCCAGCCTTCATGTGTCTCATCCCCCCATGCTTCTCTTCCCCTTCAAGGATCTCAATCCCCTCTCAGTGAGCACTTCCCGTCATACCGCAGTCCGCTCGGCCACGCTACAGACAGCGGCAGGAGTGGAGCAGCACATCGCTCCCCTCCTGCTGGTTATCCTGTGACCGTGTGCCACAGGATGGTGCGGCAGTGTACCAGCTCTGAAGTAGTGCTGGCAGTCCATGGTCGCAGGGGGAGACAGGACAGTCGGGCCTCTAGGAGTGAACTCGTAGTGAATTAACAGAAAGCATCGTTATCTTGACCAGCAAGTCAGTCATTCAAAGAATGTAAATAACAGACACAAAATACTAGTTTTAGTCCAAAATAATGGAGCTGGAGGCTTTCCCCCCATTTTGGCCTTAAAGGGATAATATAGTAATCAAAAAAAAAATTTGGCTTGAAGGGTCAGCAGACGTCAGTGTTACCTGGTATTGGGGTGCTGCTGTCAGTGTTACCTGGTGTTGGGGGTGCAGTTACCTGGTGTTGGGGTGCTGAAACAGTGTTACCTGGTATTGGGGGTGCTGCAGTCAATGTTACCTGGTGTTGGGGTGCTAAAGTTAGTGTTACCTGGTATTGGGGTGCTGTTACCTGGTGTTGGGGTGCTGCAGTCAGTGTTACCTGGTGTTGGGGTTCTGCAGTCAGTGTTACCTGGTGTTGGGGTGCGATCAATGTTACCTGGTATTGGGGTGCTGCAGTGTTACCTGGTATTAGGGGGCTGCAGTCAGTGTTACCTGGTGTTGGGGTGCTGCAGTCAGAGTTACCTGGTATTGGGGGTGCTGCAGTCAATGTTACCTGGTGTTGGGGTTCTGCAGTCAAAGTTACCTGGTATTGGGGGGGCTGTTGTCAGTGTTACCTGGTATTAGGGGGCTGCAGTCAGTGTTACCTGGTATTAGGGGGCTGCTGTCAGTGTTACCAGGTGTTGGGGTGCTGACGTCAGAGTTGCCTGGTATTGGGGGTACTGCAGTCAATGTTACCTGGTGTTGGGGGTACTGCAGTCAATGTTACCTGGTGTTGGGGTGCTGCAGTTAGTGTTACCTGGTATTGGGGTGCTGTTACCTGATGTTGGGGTGCTGCAGTCAGTGTTACCTGGTGTTGGGGTTCTGCAGTCAGTGTTACCTGGTGTTGTCAATGTTACCTGGTTTTGGGGTGCTGCAGTCAGTGTTACCTGGTATTGGGGTGCTGCAGTCAGAGTTGCCTGGTATTGGGGTGCTGCAGTCAGAGTTGCCTGGTATTGGGGGTACTGCAGTCAATGTTACCTGGTGTTGGGGGTACTGCAGTCAATGTTACCTGGTATTGGGGTGCTGCAGTCAGTGTTACCTGGTGTTGGGGTGCTACAGTCAGTGGTACCTGGTATTGGGGTGCTGTTGTCAGTTTTACCTGGTGTTCGGGGTGCTGCAGTCAGTGGTACCTGGTATTGGGGTGCTGTTATCTGGTGTTGGGGTGCTGCAGTCAGTGGTACCTGGTGTTGGGGTGCTGTTACCTGGTGTTGGGGTGCTGCAGTCAGTGGTACCTGGTATTGGGGTGCTGCAGTCAGTGGTACCTGGTATTGGGGTGTTGCAGTCAGTGGTACCTGGTATTGGGGTGCTGTTACCTGGTGTTGGGGTGCTGCAGTCAGTGGTACCTTGTGTTGGGGTGCTGTTACCTGGTGTTGGGGTGCTGCAGTCAGTGGTACCTGGTATTGGGGTGCTGCAGTCAGTGGTACCTGGTGTTGGGGTGCTGCAGTCAGTGGTACCTGGTATTGGGGGTGCTGCAGTGTTACCTGGTATTAGGGGGCTGCAGTCAGTGGTACCTGGTGTTGGGGTTCTGCAGTCAGTGGTACCTGGTATTGGGGTGCTGCAGTCAGTGGTACCTGGTGTTGGGATGCTGTTACCTGGTGTTGGGGTGCTGCAGTCAGTGTTACCTGGTGTTGGGGTGCTGCAGTCAGTGTTACCTGGTGTTGGGGTGCTGCAGTCAGTGTTACCTGGTGTTGGGGTGCTGCAGTCAGTGGTACCTGGTGTTGGGGTGCTGCAGTCAGTGGTACCTGGTGTTGGGGGGCTGTTACCTGGTGTTGGGGTGCTGCAGTCCTCCTGTTCTCATTCTATTTTACTATCTAAACTCACTTTGTAATTATTGTATGAGGTTCTCAGTGTGGGCGTGTCTCACAGGAGGAGGCGGTGCTCAGAGAAGCCAATCAGAGGCGGTGGTTAGTCCATTCCCCCATATGGTCACTTTTAATTGGATAGAAGAAGATCCGGCTTCGCACAAACAACATGTAACCCCGCCCACTCCCTGATACAACATAACTGTAACCACGCCCACTCAGTGATACAAAATATCTGTAACCCCGCCCAGATACAAAGTTACCTTCTCCCCAGGACACAGTGTTCGTTAACCCCTTCACTGCCTGACTGCCCAGAGTCTGTAACCGGTTAACCCCATTCACTGCCAGCCTGACTGCACAGAGTCTGTAACCGGTTAACCCCTTCACTGCCAGCCTGACTGCACAGAGTCTGTAACCGATTAACCCCTTCACTGCCAGCCTGACTGCACAGAGTCTGTAACCGATTAACCCCTTCACTGCCAGCCTGACTGCACAGAGTCTGTAACCGGTTAACCCCTTCACTGCCAGCCTGACTGCACAGAGTCTGTAACCGGTTAACCCCTTCACTGCCAGCCTGACTGCACAGAGTCTGTAACCGGTTAACCCCTTCACTGCCAGCCTGACTGCACAGAGTCTGTAACCGGTTAACCCCTTCACTGCCAGCATGACTGCACAGAGTCTGTAACCTGTTAACCCCTTCACTGCCAGCCTGACTGCACAGAGTCTGTAAACGGTTAATCCCATTCACTGCCAGCCTGACTGCACAGAGTCTGTAACTGGTTAACCCCTTCACTGCCTGACTGCACAGAGTCTGTAACCGGTTAACCCCTTCACTGCCTGCCTGCACAGAGGCTGTAACTGGTTAACCCCTTCACTGCCAGCCTGACTGCACAGAGTCTGTAACCGGTTAACCCCATTCACTGCTGTGCCCACCGCACAGAGTCTGTAAACGGTTAACTTCTTCACTGCCAGCCTGACTGCACAGAGTCTGTAACCGGTTAACCCCTTCACTGCCAGCCTGACTGCACAGAGTCTGTAACCGGTTAACCCCTTCACTGCCAGCCTGACTGCACAGAGTCTGTAACCGATTAACCCCTTCACTGCCAGCCTGACTGCACAGAGTCTGTAACCGATTAACCCCTTCACTGCCAGCCTGACTGCACAGAGTCTGTAACCGGTTAACCCCTTCACTGCCAGCCTGACTGCACAGAGTCTGTAACCGGTTAACCCCATTCACTGCCAGCCTGACTGCACAGAGTCTGTAACTGGTTAACCCCTTCACTGCCAGCATGACTGCACAGAGTCTGTAAACGGTTAACCCCCTTCACTGCCAGCCTGACTGCACAGAGTCTGTAACCGGTTAACCCCCTTCACTGCCAGCCTGACTGCACAAGAGTCTGTAACCGGTTCCCCTTCACTGCCTGACTGCCCAGAGTCTGTAACCGGTTAACCCCATTCACTGCCAGCCTGACTGCACAGAGTCTGTAACCGGTTAACCCCTTCACTGCCAGCCTGACTGCACAGAGTCTGTAACCGATTAACCCCTTCACTGCCAGCCTGACTGCACAGAGTCTGTAACCGATTAACCCCTTCACTGCCAGCCTGACTGCACAGAGTCTGTAACCGGTTAACCCCTTCACTGCCAGCCTGACTGCACAGAGTCTGTAACCGGTTAACCCCTTCACTGCCAGCCTGACTGCACAGAGTCTGTAACCGGTTAACCCCTTCACTGCCAGCCTGACTGCACAGAGTCTGTAACCGGTTAACCCCTTCACTGCCAGCATGACTGCACAGAGTCTGTAACCTGTTAACCCCTTCACTGCCAGCCTGACTGCACAGAGTCTGTAAACGGTTAATCCCATTCACTGCCAGCCTGACTGCACAGAGTCTGTAACTGGTTAACCCCTTCACTGCCTGACTGCACAGAGTCTGTAACCGGTTAACCCCTTCACTGCCTGCCTGCACAGAGGCTGTAACTGGTTAACCCCTTCACTGCCAGCCTGACTGCACAGAGTCTGTAACCGGTTAACCCCATTCACTGCCAGCCTATCCAAGTCATGATCTCATATTCACTCATAGCAGCCCAGTTGTGATGTCATTCATTTAGTGCATTCCAGCCATGATGTCATATTCACTCAGAGCAAGTATCCCAGCCATGATGTCATATTCACTCAGAGCACCCCAGCCATGATGTCATATTATCTCAGAGCATCCCAGCCATGATGTCATATTCACTTTGAGCAAGTATCCTAGCCGTGATGTCATTCATTTAGAGCAAGTATTCCAGCTGTGATGTCATATTCACTCAGAGCACCCCAGCCATGATGTCATATTCACCCAGAGCATCCCAGCCGTGATGTCATTCACTCAGAGCAAGTATTCCAGCCGTGATGTCATATTCACTCAGAGCAAGTATTCCAGCCGTGATGTCATATTCATTTAGAGCAAGTATCCCAGCCGTGATGTCATATTAATTTAGAGCAAGTATTCCAGCCATGATGTCATATTCTCTCAGAGCATCCCAGCTGTGATGTCATATTCATTCAGAGCAAGTATCCCAGCCGTGATGTCATATTCATTTAGAGCAAGTATTCCAGCCGTGATGTCATTCATTTAGAGCAAGCATTCCAGCCGTGATGTCATATTCATTTAGAGCAAGTATCCCAGCCGTGATGTCATATTAATTTAGAGCAAGTATTCCAGTCATGATGTCATATTCTCTCAGAGCATCCCAGCTGTGATGTCATATTCATTCAGAGCAAGTATCCCAGCCGTGATGTCATATTCATTTAGAGCAAGTATTCCAGCCGTGATGTCATTCATTTAGAGCAAGCATTCCAGCCGTGATGTCATATTCATTTAGAGCAAGTATTCCAGCCGTGATGTCATATTCATTTAGAGCAAGTATTCCAGCCGTGATGTCATTCATTTAGAGCAAGTATTCCAGCCGTGATGTCATTCATTTAGAGCAAGTATTCCAGCCGTGATGTCATATTCATTTAGACCAAGTATTCCAGCTCATATTCACTCAGTGCACCCCAGCCATGATGTCATATTCTCTCAGAGCATCCCAGCCATGATGTCATATTCACTTTGAGCAAGTATCCCAGACATGATGTCATAATTACTCAGAGCAAGTATCAAAGCCTTGATGTCATATTCTCTGACTACCCAAGTCATGATCTCATATTCACTCATAGCATCCCAGCTGTGATGTCATTCATGTAGCGCATTCCAGCCGTGATGTCATATTCATTTAGAGCAAGTATTCCAGCCGTGATGTCATATTCACTCAGAGCATCCCAGCCCTGATGTCAGTCACTTTGAGCAAGTATCCCAGACATGATGTCACACTTACTCAGAGCAAGTATCAAAGCCTTGATGTCATATTCTCTCAGACTATCCAAGTCATGATCTCAAATTCACTCATAGCAACCCAGCTACGATGTCCATATTTACTCCGACCATCTCAGCCATGATGTCTTATTCACTCATTGCATTCCACCTGTGATGCCATATTCATTCAGAGCATCCCAGCCATGAGGTCATTTACTCAGAGCAAGGATCCCAGCCGTGATGTCATATTTTCTCAGAGCATCCCAGCCATGATGTCATTTTCACTCAAATCAAGTAACCCAGCCACGATGTCATATTCACTCATGGCATCCCAGCCGTGATGTCATATTCACTCATGGCATCCCAGCCGTGATGTCATATTCACTCATGGCATCCCAGCCGTGATGTCATATTCACTCATGGCATCCCAGCCGTGATGTCATATTCACTCATGGCATCCCAGCCGTGATGTCATATTCACTCATAGCATCCCAGCCGTGATGTCATATTCACTCAGAGTTTCCCAGCCATGATGTCATATTTACTCAGAGCAAGTATCAAAGCCATGATGTCATATTCTTACAGACTATCCAAGTCATGATCTCATATTCACTCATAGCATTCCAGCTGTGATGTCATATTCATTCAGAGCAAGCATCCCAGCAGCGATGTCATATTCATTCAGAGCATCCCAGCCATGATGTCATTGACGTAGAGCAAGCATCCCAGCCGTAATGTCATATTCTCTCAGAGCATCCCAGCCACGATGTCATATTCATTTAGAGCAAGTATTCCAGTCATGATGTCATATTTAGTCACTCAGAGCATCCTAGCCATGATGTCATAGTCGCTCAGAGCATCCCAGGAATGACATCACTTTCACTCAGAGCATCACTTGATGCATTTCACTTGATTTACAACATATGCTAAGGCTTGCCAGGACAGCCACCTATTTACAAAGCTCCAACATATTTAGCAGAGGTGGACTAACAAATGAGTACTTGCTACAGGTTGGACATATACTAAGTGAAGGTAGTGAGGGCCCTGCTTAAAGGAATTTACATTCCTCATCGAGATGATAATCTAAATAGTACAACCTACAGTTACCTTTTAATTAACATTTAAACCACTGTTTTACTGAACATTGTTTATAGTTTATAACTTTTACATGGAACTTACTCAATGTATGAAACCAATAAGAAACATGACAAGTCTTTCTCTTCAATAAAAACAAGGTGGTAAAATATAAAACGTCTAGAAGGGAATGTTCACTAAATTGAGAATTCAACAGGAATTTCAGGTTTTAGGCCCAACTAACAGAAAACAAAACAGCTGGTTTGGAAAAATTTTAAATTTTTAGCAATCTAACCTAAACTTTGAAATTCACTCAGAATTTGCAACAATGCAAGAGGTAAGCATTATGGGAGATGTAGTCCACAACATTTGAAGTGCCGAAGATCACCTTACCATGCTTTATTGAAAGACCATGATAAAAGCAGTATTTCACAAATAACGTCTTTAATATCGGCTTAAAACATTATACGCAAGCTCTCTTGCTTTGAAGATATTAAATAGACAGCCATGTCATGTTTCTATGCATGTCGACTAATCCAGCTGTTTAACAGTGCAGTTGGGACACTTGCTGCCTTGGGGAAATATGAAATGTGAGGAATGTAGTGAGACTAGAAAACAAGTTTGTCCTTACTGCACTCAAACAGGTTTATTCAGAAGACACCTTATTTTGGCAATTTAAATTCCAATGACAAAACAGTGTCTAAAACAGCACCGCTTGTTACAGATCTGTTTTAGCCTCAATTTTGCCAGATTAACTTCACTAAAAATTGGTATTACTTCTTAGTAAATAACCTTGGAAGAAAGTCACCTACAACCAATAATCTGGAGAAAATGGAACTAAGCAGAAGACATTAATATTTAAAAGACCAAGGATAATTCATGCCATTATCATAATCCTGAGATACGACATCCCAGCTCTTAACAAGCTAAAACTATTTGTCACTCTGATCATATGACAGTGCCGTTATATGACATTCGGTGTCTGCAGTCATCCAAGGCCCATATTGTTATTTAGTAGAATAAGGACAAAAGGTAGATTAGGACTCCTAAAATGACTTCTATTATTGGTTCCAAAAAGGTTTATTTTTTTTAAATGGAACCTGTTAAATGTACATAGTGCACCAATATCATAACTAAGAGGGTAAATTTACTGTAAGGTCATCAGTAATCATGTAACTTTTTAGCAGGTTTTACTCATCTCACGGTTTGCAAGTCAGTTGCTGTATTTTTGCCTTTTGTTTTTAATTTACAGAACTATGGGATTTGTGGTTTGCCACATAAAAACAAGTTTTATTAGTGTTTAAGTGATCTATAACCTTTTACATAGATAACCTATTAGTTCTTAAAACTGATGATATGGAGCTAGGTTTAGCCACACACTGCCATCAGCTATTGGTCTACTGTCATTTATAACGTGAGAATTCAAATGCAACCACTGGAGTAAACAAATAACCTCCATTTGTTTAAATATACACAGGGATTTCGGAGAGCACAGGTAGCTTTTTTCCTTTGGTATTTACTGTATGTATTGGGGCTGATGTGTACTATGGTCGTTGCTGCCACCTAGGAGTGATGGGAGTTTGAGCGCAGGACTTTTTTTTTTGTATTTGTATTCACTTTTTGTATCACACAGCTGTGTTACAATGCTGCCGCCCATCCTATGTGTTCCCTATTAAGGGTTAATAAGTATGAAGGTGTGTCTATAAAAAATAACCCTCTCTGTCTCAGAGATATCTTTGCCAGAAGCTCAAGGAAGCAAGGGGACAGGTCAATGTAGGACCCACCTAAAGTGTTTGCCTTGACGTGGCAGGCGGGCATTCCCTCCAATGGCCATTGGAGTAACTAAATAAGGTGAGAATTGTTTGGAAGATATCAACAAATCCACTGTGGAAAAATTAACAGATCTCTCTATATCTGGATTTACTAGTCGCGGAGGTCTCAAATTACCTGGCGAGTTCACTCCACTCAATTGAGAATTGCAGCGTTCAAATATACTAGAAAGGAACTTGCAGCCTCCACACCTTCTGGCGATGCAAAAGGCTTCCTGGGGACACTTGTTGTTTTATATGTATGCAGAGGGTGGGGCAATAATTTATAATCTACATTCATAAACTGAAATCCCAGCACTACAATAGTGCAACCTTAAAGGACAGCTGTCATCGCAACACTATAGCTTTTCGTTTTAAATTATCTATATATAAAATAAAACAAAAAACACCATATCCATGCCTTAAGTATAGGACAGGATCCTTAAGCCAAATACATAGACCTTGGGTAACAGTGTTTGAAAACCTCTATACGTCTCTATGGTCTTCCTTGCTTTACACATCATCAGACCGCCTAACTGCCAAAGTCAAACACCGTCTGACCCAAGGTGTATATATGACTGAAGGATCCTCTCATATACTAAATGTAAGGGCGAGTCTTCTCTCATTTTTGTACATATACTTTATTAAACAAAACTATTTCCTTTCAAAAACGGATGAAAGAATCATTATATTAAAAGATAGGGTTAAGATGAAATTTACCATTTAACCATATCCTAACCTTTCATGTTAGTGTCTAGGTTTAACAGTGTATTGTCACAGTGTTCTTATGAATGCAGCAACTATTTAATTGCTAAACACATTTAAAATTTGTTGCCTCCATGGAGACGTTTTAAATGTCTATGATTGGGAATATTTCTCAGTAGATTCTGGAACACCTATTGGCGTCTTGTTAGCCCAGTCAGCCACTGACGTTAGATAAATAGACCTGGTTTGTAGTCCGTGTTCTAATCCATTCAAAAGAATTCAATTGAGCTAAAGTCAAGGCCGTTTATAAGCCAGTCAAGAGCACTGTTGTCCTGTCACCATGTTTAAAAAACAAAACCCAAAACATTCACATCTTGGAAATACATATATTTAATTTTATAATACATCTGACATACATCTCTTAGATTAACAGTGACTGTATTCTCCTTCCGAGTGCAAATGGTAACACACAGGGAAGGTAGCAGCGTTAAACCCTCCACTGATTCTTGCTAAAAATTAACATATTATGTGTGATTTAAATCATAAACCAACAAAGTAAACTAACACTAGCCGTGCAGGCTTACCCTAACAATAATATAGAGACATCCTCCTAATATATATCCGAGAGCTAGGCAACCTGGGGCTAGCAAGCTGTTATAAAACCTACTGTTTCAGAGGCCTGCAGCAAACCTGGTGGATCATGGCAGTTACAATTCAACAGATGGAAAGGCAAAAGATGCCTAGCTCTAAATGTGAACAGCCTGACAGAGTAGTTGAGGAGGTTAAGGAGAAAGTCTTAACCTTTAGTGTTGTATTTTACAAATGAAATTTATTATAAAGACTTTATTATCCATTATCCAGCATTTGGAGGATGCTAGGTGTCCAGTCAATAAAGCAGGTGTTGGTGGATGGCATTGGCCAAAAAGACATATGTTGTTGAGGCAGAAGATCAGTACTAACCCTCCTGCCTGGGTGTCTACAATACCCTGAAGTATCCAGGCAAGCAGAATACAACGATCACTGTCCAGGAAACTGCGCATTGGATAGAGAATTACGTAAAAAGACATTGCTTGGGGTTACCTGAGATGGGAACGTAGAAGAGAAAATACAGGAAGCAGTGGGCTGCTATTTCCCAAATGAAGCTTGAAGTAGCAAGAGCATTAGGGCGGTCGGAGATGTAAGGTGCGCAGTCACTCATTTTGTGGTTTAGCGAGACAGTCAGGGCTGAACAAAAAGTGTAAATAATTTAAGGGTTAGACAGTCTCAGGAGCCAGCAATGCCATAGAAGTCCATTTTATATCCCAGTGCTCCAAAAATGTTAAGGGCCAGCAGAAACATTTCAAGAGCCATGCTCACCTGGAAATTGTCTAGCCTTGGAGACTTTGGGTGAACACTGTGACTGTCTTCTTTAAAGACCTCTCTGAAAAATGCACAGTGTTTAAGACAACTGGTAGCTGATGAAACAGGCAATACACAAATTGAGTGTGCTTGTTTTTCGGAAGGTGGCAAAATGTCCCCATTGTAGTGTTAAATACATGGCTTTTCTCAGGCCTACACTAGTCTGGAATTCGTGTGAGCTAACACTGATCAGTTTCAACAGTTTGAGTTGAGAGAGTCTTTGGAGGTGGTTATCCAAAACCTGCATTTATCTATTTGTACTTAATGTTCAGTGTAGCATCTTATAGAATGTTAGTAGGTATCAAACATGAGTGTCTTTCTGAAACAGGTCAATGGCCCCTTAAAGACAGGAAAGCAGGGGCAGAGAAAGTGGACCTGAGTGTGTGGATCGAAAGGGGCAAATAAAGTTACTTGTGGACGTGACAAAAAAAACAGATTCCTGGCTGAGGGTCTCTTGTCTTACTGCAAAGAGTCAACAAACGCATCAAACTCCTTCATGTTTTTTTCATGCACGGCTAATTTCTCTGGTATGGACTGCTGAGGGGAAAAAAAGAAGAATGTATAGATGAAGAAGAAGAAGAGGAAAAACACAACAACACAACAGGTCACCATTCACATCATTTGCATTTGATATCCACAATATTTGATGGATAGTCACACCTTAAAATACGTTTTCCAGTTCTGACAAAGGAAGTCCATCAACAGTTGGTGTATTACTGTTCCAGACCTTGCCAGCGACCTATTAAAGAACAATGTTTCCCCCTGAAGTCAGTCAGTCCACACATAACACTACAAAATAGTGCTTTAGTTTAGGGGGGCTGGATTTACCATGTACAGTGGACATATCAGCTATTACGATATTAACTTTACTATCTGCTTTCTTTAAAACTACCTACAACTTGAGTTGGGATATATCTACTTGACCTCAGCAGAGTGGAGTTCAGTTTTATTTGCGGCAAAGCCTGTGTAGTCCACTAACACCCTTTTTCTCACTCCTTCTCCCTCTAAGGCTGTAGAACTTAATGGAAAGAAGTAGGAAGTAGTTATGTCAGAGAGTGAAGGAGGCTGCTTCCATGAACCTAGGCCCATTTCAGACCTGAAAGGCCAGTATCCCATTGCATGAGAGAATATCACAATACTTATCCCTCGTGGCGCCATGTGATCACGGAAGCGATGTCTCTTCTGTGTGTGTGTCTCTTCCTAGTGCCTCATTATGACATCATATATGACATGGAACTCTCCCTTTGGTCTCCTTTTATAATGCCAGTCTATGTGGTCCTTTTTGATGATGTGTACACACTTGTGACTTCATGGCCCTATGTACACTTCCTGATTGCCCTTGTTTGCTTGTCCTGTCGTGGTTTCTGTTTACCCAAGAGTGTATACTTGGCTTGCCTGATTATTCTTGCTCTCTGTTATCCTTGACCTCGGCCTGTTTACGTTAATTCTGCCTCTTCATGCAGAAATTCTAACTTATATTCTTATATTATAAGTGCTAGACCTGGGTCAGGTCAGTCTTTACAGATACACAGCAACCCCAGCCAAGGAGCTTGCCCGCATTTCAGATATGGACTGTCCATGCAGGAGCAATCAGTCTGATATGCAACAGGCACAGGTTCTGTTTTTTACCCATTCTAGGTTCTCTTATATTCTGTTTGATCTGCTTAACTACTGATGTTCCTCAGATCTATTTGTCCTGAAATGGAGGAAGTCAAATCATTTAGGACTGTTGAATTACAACTTGCATAAAGCTTAAAAAAGAAAAAAATATTTTAGTTTATGGGATATGTAATATTAAAGTTTAAGGCCTACAACAGCACTGCCACTAGAGTCCTCACCAGATCTTCTGCCATTGACCGTGCACCGCCATCTACAGACAAGCTACTGAGCTGTGGTGGGTTCTGAAATTCCCGGAAGAAAGTGCCAACGTCCATTCCAATATCATCTTTGGTGAAGGCCGGTCTCTGAAAAGCAATAAAAGTCAAAAAGAAAAACCACTTCATTCATTAATAGGCTTGTAAACAAATCCCTTTTACCTGAATTAATTCGCTAAGCAAACCCAAATTAATTGATTCATTTGACTATAGACTGACAGGCATTTGATTCGTTTGGCGCAGTTCAGAGAGATTTGTGCACAAGTCTATCCATTACGATTAACTGATGAGACACTAGACAACCAGAAGATAATAGTAATAGAAAAGAAGGTTCTATAAGTGGTCTAGTTTGAAAGAATAGGACCACCTACCCAATCGACAATCACAAAATCATCTTGAGCAGCTTCACTGCTAGCGGTGGAACTTTGCAAACTTCTAGTTTTAGGAGAATCCTCTTCTGGTGTCTCTGGACAAACTACCTAGAATTAAAAAATAAAAAGAGACCAACGGACATGTGAGTAAATTTGGATCAGATCTTACTGCAGCGCTTGCTTGGCATCTTTTAGAAATGAAAAATGCTGAAGTATAAATTAACTCCCACTAAGCTTTGTGTAAAAATGGTGGTTCTAGGGGACACAAAAAAAAATGATTAAATGTTGAGCAGGAGGCCTGATATATTTATGATTAAGTGGGAGGCAGTACCATGGGATCATTGTCCGAATCATAGTCACTTCTGGGAGCAAAGGCGGCAAAAGGTATATCCAAGCTTTCATAGGTGATCTGAAAGCAGAACAGAGTGTGTCATAGTCATTTTGCCAAAATATAGCAAGGTCTACTGATGCAGCGTTAGATGGAAATACAGAGATTGACGAAATAAATGAATCCAGCTACCAAAAGCCACAAACATTTAAAAACAGAGCAAGTAATGGCCTGACAGATAGCTCAAGGCATGGATGTAAAGAAAGATGGAGGAATAAATGGAAATAAAGGGACCATATATTTCAGTGCTTGTTGTACTGTACATCTTGATCTTGCCACCAACCTGAGGAGAGGGTTTGTCCACAAATGCTCCAACTTTCCTGGAGAACAGGATGCGCGCATGTTTATTAGGGGAGGTGTTTTTGCCAGGTGCACCTTTGCCCGCAGGTAATTCTAATTCATCACTGTGGCAGAGAGGACATAATCAGCATTGCTTTCACCGCGGGAACATATCACTTTACACTGTACAGATGTGGGCTGTACCTGCTGGATGTGCCATTAGAGGGAGGCGTGGGAACTGGTCTATCATTGTCTCCCTGATTACCCTGTGCCGGCTGAGCGTTCATGTTGGGCAATCCACCTTCTTTTGCTGTATTCATCATCTACAAAGAGAATCAGATCCCAAGAAGTGTCGGTTATTAGCTTTCACTGTGAAATTTTCTGTTTTATTAAGGGTCTAGAAGGCATGCAGATGACACGGTGCTTTAGTGAAATTTTAGCTTTCCTACACATGGAGATGCACGATCTTGCTCCATTTCAGTTATTTGATGGAGCCAAAATGTATGACAAATTGTCAAACAGCAAACCAGATTCAGGATCTGCTTATTTTTAAAGATGACAGAGAAAAAAACAAAACAAAAAAAACAAACAAAGAGGAAAACAAAAGTAACATGAAGAGTACAGTGTTCGCCCAAAATATTCCAAGAGGAAAGACTGGTTTGACGTTTACCAAGTCTTTAAACTTGCATGCATTTAATAAACAGGCACGCCGATGGGCTGTCAAGGTATACGCTCATCCTGTTCACTGTGTGTACACTATGCGTGTTTTGTCCACCTTCCCAGGAGTACCTGCTGGGTATGGGTGGCACTCACTCCAGCAGCTAAGCCTACTGGGTAACCCAGTTCCGAAGATCCTGCTCCAGCTGGCTGATAGGACAGACGAGAGCTGCACAGCTACAAAGCAAAAAAGAAAAAAAAGGAGACGAAAAGAAAACAAAAAAAGCTAAAATAAGACAGAGAAAGGTATGTAGCAGAGATGCAATGTTATGCAGCGCTAACTACCGTAGTTCATGCCTTGTAGGTTTTAGCAAATGAACACATGTGAATGGATGAGGAACTTTTGAGAAACTACCACTACCCTACACAGGATATGACCACTCAAAGTTTAAAGTCGACAGGTCACCTACAGAAAAAGGTATTAATTAAATTCATACAAAAGTGTTGAATTTATCTGGTTGAGCAAAAGATTGTTTGAATATGCACTTCAACTAACTGGCAAGTCATCTATTGTTTGTCAGGCATCTGTGGCAAAATATCTAAGGGACTCTCTAGGCAGTGCAGGAATGCATCAAACAGCAAAAAAAAAAGTTTAAAGGGACACTGTAGGCACTTTAACAACTTCCTTGTGATAGTGCCTACAGTCCTGCCCCTCCACACATACCTCCCAAAACACTTTAGTTCACTAATAAGAGAACTTGGAGGCGTGGCTTGAAGCCCTCTGGGATGGGGGACAACGACAAACACCTAATTGATTAGGGGCACCAGGGCTGTAGCATTAGGAATACAGGTATTTGTTACTTTAATGTTCTTTGCAAAACACTCCTGCAATCCTATGTCTTTGTCTCTTTTCAAGGGAATTTGGTAAGAAACATAGACATAATCCTAAAACTGTAGGAGTTACAAATATTCACTAATGGTACAGGACAGCATAGGGAAGTTTCCGATCATAGCATTTAGGTATCCCCCAAAGACTAGTAGCCTACCAGAGTTAGGATAATTGTATTCAAATTCTATGGCTCTTCTGCCACACAGCATGGATGAGAAGATAGTTCTGTGGACACACCTAGATATGAGGGTGGAGATTAAAGTAGGAACTTGTGAAGGATGCCGCTTGGCCAGGCACCCATGATCTGTCCTCAAAATGGAAGAAGTGATCTGTGAGTAAGTTTGTGTCCTAGTAGACTACGCTTAGTAAGACTTAACGGATACCATTAGGAATTCACCCAATATTGACTACGATTTAGGGATGCTCCACATGAGCAAATCCACAATGTCACATGCAGTTCCTCAAATAACTGCATTACAGCCACTATCATAAGTGACAATGGTCCAAAGAATAGTGGTTCATGGGAAATGTATAAGTTTCTCAAAGGAAAATATGGGAGGAACAGAATCAGTAGCTTACAAATGTCACATATGGTAGAGTTACTGCGGTCCCACTATACAGTGCTGCTATGTGCAGTACGGGTGGGAGGCACAAAGAGACACACAAGGGGGTAAAGGGAGTTAAGTGATGCACGAAGAGGTAAATGGTGCAGTTAAGAGACACACAAGAGGTAAAGGGGGTTTAGGAGATAATCAAGAGGTAAATGGGTCATGCACAATGGGGTAAGGGGATTGGAGAGAAACAAAGGAGGAGGCAGCGAAAACATTTTTCTTTTTCTCACAAATTAGGGTGGTTGACAACACACAATTCTGCCCTGGATGCCAAACAACCTAGGTATGTCTATGACCAGAATTTAAGCCCTTTCATTTCCTGGACAAAGATAATCAAAGACCAGGGATTTCCAGAATGCATTAAAAATGGGTGTTAAATCATGGAGAGGTTCCTTAAGTTCTAAGCACAGGATACAGACAAGTTTAGTGGAATTTAGTGTGGAATTAAATAATTCCCCAGACGCCACAAGAATTAGGTGTGCATGGCAGCAAATGGATTTACAAAAATATATTAAACACTGTTCACCTAGTTAAAATATTTTAGCACAATTTATAGACAAAGTTTTTGGTTTGTTTTTAAGGTGACATGCCAACTTTAATGTGTCATGGTGAGAATATGATATGACACTCTCCAAGATGATTTACTGTCTTGGTGCACTAGTATGAGCCCTAACAATATTAACACACTGAGCAGGCTGTACCTCTAGTTTGAGCTGCACAGAATACACAAACAGTTGCTCACACACTGTACGCATTATTTGCTACAGACTCACTTGGTGTGATAAGGCCAGTCCCATTGTCAGGACCCTGGGAGAGTTGGTCACCACAGGAATAGCGGTTTGACCCTGTGCCTTACTGACAGTGAACACATACTACATATAGGGACATACAACAAGCCAGAGAGAGGAGAGAAAGAATTTATAGATGAGGAATGAAGAACATTGTATGAGTCCCAAAATGTCACACAGACTAGTTTAGTGTCTACATCCTCTTCAGCAGTTTTGATAATGCAAACATTACACTTCTGCATTTTCAAGGGTAATTTAATTCAACATGGATGGGGATGATAGATACCCAGCTTACCATTGCAATCCAAAGTTGGAAGTGTTAATGCAGAAGTGAAGATTCACATTAAATGAGCAGCAGGCTATCTTTTTATTCACTGTAAAAGGGACTGTCAGCTCAGTGAGATGTAGTTCCACCAAAGCAAAGCTACATCCTGGTAACTCTTATACAACCAGCTTTGTACCATCTTTAGCAAATTGGTTTCTCCCTATGCTATATCAGAGAGCAGATATAAGTAAATATTCTATGTTCTGTAGAAACGTAGCTTACATGACTGTAGCTCAAACATGCTTGTGCAACATTGCTAGAAAGTATCTAGGGTGTCTCAGAGACTGCAGGATACTACCCATGTTAAAGGGGCAGTCAAGGCAACATAACTACTAGAGCGGGAGTCCATTGGCACCATCCCAGTTTTCAAATATGACACAGGTGCATCTAGGGAAGCCAGATATTTGTCAAAATGGTTTTATTACTTACCAGAGAATGGTGCCGAGTGACTCCACTACAGTACAAATGGTTATGGTGCCTAGATTGCCCCTTTAAGGATAGGAGATTCACTGCACAGAAACAGATCTCACTGGCTTTACATATAATTATATAATGGAAAGATAGGCTGGTTAAGGACACGACAGGTTCTCTCCGCAGCCTCTGATTTTTCCAAACATTTGCTTGTGGAGTACACTTACCTGTTAGGAAAATGTAACTGGTTGAGTTCATATTGGGGAAAGGCCACTCCATTTTAGGTACCCCATTTAATTAAAATAAAAATACATTCCTCATGAAGAATGTGTTTTATGATCCTCTTCACATCAAACTAAGAGACCTATGCTAAGGCCGGAATGCAATACAAGTAGAAAGTACCTCAATCACTATGAAATCAGTGTAGGATATAACATTTGAGAATCTGCCCATTCATCAAGAGAATTCACCCACATGACTGCCTAATCCCCTTCAGAATCTGCCCATCTAGCCAGATAACTAATAAATGTCCTTAGGAAGAATTATGGTCAAACTAAGATTCTCAAGTGTAGCAACAAGTTGTGGGAAAGCATGTGTATTGTTTGATAGGATATTACACTACTAGAAGTGGTTATAAAAACGACAATTTGCAGAGTCTCACCTGAGAGGGTGGGGAAGTAGAGAAAGATGTGGCAACGTCTTGCGATTCCTCCCCTGCAGGATAAGCATTCCCTTGGTCGTCAGGTGCCCTGTTTGGGAATATTTATATAAAACCCATGGGTGTTAGTAAGAAAGATTATGCTGAATGTGAAAGGCAGGAGGGGAGAGGCAATATGGTCAATACAGTTGATGTAATGAATGAGCCAAAACTATGAGCAGTAATCCAAATCCATGCAACAGGGTACGATTTCACCTAGTGACACAACTGTCCTTCACACCAAGTCCCTGCAAGTTTATGAACATGCTAGAACTAGCAATACTTTGGATCTGACATCAATCTCTTCGGTTTTTGCAAGCTATAATAATAATAATAACATAGGATGGGTGAGGGCAATGGGAGTGGAGGTTTGTAGGCTCTCTGTCAACTCAGTCTGAAGAAAGAGTGTGGAACATGAGTTTTGTTAGCCTGATATTGGCTTTCTGCTTATGAGAAAGGGTGCAGTTTATCTACAGATGAAACGTTATGGGTGGCCTACCCCAATTTTAAGAACCACTGAGAGGGGTACTGATTTTATTTCGTGCTATCTACATCCTCACCTGTAGTTGCAGGGATGCATGTGTGAGGTGCTGGGGAATGGTCGGTCAACAAAGTGATCAATTATAATCCCCATGATGGGTTGGGTCCTCTCAAACTGTCTGCAATGCAACAAACACATTGGCATTATTTACCAGCACGCCTCACTCTCTTATATATACCCAGCCCATTCCAGTTTCCTAAGTTGAAATGTCCTCCAAGAAGTGGAGAAACATGAGCAGCGGTGAAGTATAAAGCAGCTTGCTGAATAACAGTAAAGGCCGGGGTATGTGAATGCCAGTGGGTCAGTGGTTTTTTCCATCAGCGCTTGGCTGGTATAATCTGAAGTGTCCAATGGCCAGTGTGTGAGTTTCTCATGGTAAAGAGTGGCCAACTTCCCTTAGAGCCCCCACTTGCTTCCAGTGTTTCTGGCATGGTTACCTGGTTGAAATAAACGCTAGGTTGGTTCTGTAGGCGCAGGTCAGTGTGACTGTGCCACCAGGAGTTCCCACACTACCAACGCGTATGGTCTGGAATCCTGAAGAGAGAAAAAAAAAAAAAGTGTTAAAAAAATATAGAAGTCTTTTATTCTCTCTCGAAAATACAACCTCACTTCTTGCAAATAAATACGAGAACATATTTTCAAAGGCAGAATTCTTATTTTCAAAAGACTATAATTCCCAGGAAATTGAATTGCTTCCTGTAACTTTGATTGAAACCTGGAAGTGTCTGAAATCATTCAACCTATTCTTGGCCACCAATAACATCCTATGGTATAATCTGTGATCTTGGGAACCCCCTAGTGTTGTAATCCAGAACAGCAGAAAAACAGAAGTTGGATAACTGCAGAAGAAGCTCAACAGAAAGGATTCTACAATTATGGGTCATTATTAAGTCTTATTCATCAGTTTCCAATTATCTTGTGGATGTGCATGACACATTACCTTCTTTAAGTCCAAGGAGTTGAACGTCCCCAAAATAAATCCTGAAAAAGGAACATAAGGCAGGTTATAATAATGCAAGAAATCGTCTTGTGATTGAATAATACTGAGGAACACACTCCTGCACCTTCCTGCATGTTACACAGCTTTATAGCCCTCCCAATCTACACAAAACATAACACTATATAATACTATGACCCATAAGTGGAACCATGGCATATATTTTCACTGAAGAATAAATATACATATATCTATATATCAAAAAGGTTATAGTGGGGGAAAAATTGTGATTGAAAACCCCTTCCACCTGAAGTCTGTGGATAGTTAATACAATGTTAAACAAAAATCTGCACACCAGTCAAACCATAGGAAAAGCAAGTCTTATGGCTTGACTGGTGTGCAGATTTTTGTTTAACATTGTATTTTTTATACACACACACACACACACACACACTCGATATAATGATACATACACAATCTTTAGAGAGGACTGTCCCATCTACAACAATTTGCAGGAGTTTACAGATCAAAGCTGTCCTCTGGGGCAGTTGCCCATTTTACCCTCTGGCAGTAGAAGAGATCCCCTTGGACATGCGTCTTGATGCACAACATAGCAACAACGGGCCATATACCAGTAACTAATTGGCAAAAAGCGAAACGTGAAGCTATTGCCATGGACACCAAAGGGACCTTGCACATGTTTACTTCACATTAAGTACTTTGCCCCGAGTTCTTTTTTGAGACAAGACAATTATGGATCAATGGAAAGGAGTTGAGAATTTTCTGTTGTGCATCACCTGCATAGCTCAAGTTTGACTTTGAAAAGTTACCCTTGGGCACAGAAACTCGAGAAATCGTGTTTCCACGACTATCCCAGGGTTCTCAGCTTGACATGCAAATGATAGAATCATGGTTTTTCGAGTTTCTGTCCCTGAATGGATCTTTCCAAAGTACAACTTGAGATATGCAGATGACGCCCAACAGTATTTTTTCTATTTTGAGTTATTTTACTATGTTTGGTCTCACCACAAACTTTTTCGGCACCTAATGTGTGGCGTGAAAGATTGATCGACGTAGAAGGAATTCATGTTTGGCAGAAAACATTTTAGAGTCAATGCCCAAGCTTTCTCTAGATATACAGAGTAATTCAAATGTAGAACATTCATGATGTAAACCAAAAGGAATGACTGCTCCACGACTGCTGTTTATGCATAGCGGCCAATGTATTTCAAGTTACCTGTACAGAATAACATATTCGTGACCCTGTTTTCTGGAGAGTCTGTAAGCGGGAGTCACTCTGGTAACAGCAACTAACGACTTCAGCAGGAATGACAGTCTGTTATACACAGTGTATGATACCTTGACATCCGGCTCACACCTAGGGTACAGGAGGCAAGCAGTGAGTTTGAGATAATTTATTACAGGCAATCAGGTCCAGCTCTGCTGTGCAACATAGTGTGACATCGCCGGAGACACTGGCTGTGACACTGGCAGAGCATTGTTAAACCCCAAGACACACACACATTTTAAATAACAGACAGAAACCATAGAGCAACATGAAAGCCAACAACGCAAAGTATTAATTTTATCCAAAATGTTACTTTATGCCAATGTTTTCAGCTGACTTTGCTCTCGAAACAAACGATTATTTGCTACTAACTTTTCATTCATTCCCAGGCACCAAACTTCCAGCTCCATTGAATCCCCCTAAAAAATAAAAACAATGAATGAGAATGTGTAGCAATGTTTTTGTTCCATATTGGGCCGATAGAGAGAGTGAAGGGAACCTGAAGCCAGAGTTCTAAATAGAGGTAAATTAAAGTATTTTGTAACAAAAAGTCACACACTACATAGAGTGATAAAATAAATACTGAAAGCCCAAGTAAAAAAATAAGGTGACTGTTCAACAAAATGATGAAGTTCTTAACCTTGACCGCAGTTAACACAACATACTTTGAGCAGCGTAATATAGCTAACTAGGTCACATTGTATAAATGTACTATCTACTGGATCTATAGAGATATACCTATTGCCGAACAAATCCTACATTCCCGACCTACAGATTAGTATTGGAATATAAATGCACCTATGGGTTCACGAGACCGTGGAGAAAGAGGTTTGCTCTTCCATGTATGGTACACAGAATATACTTGATATTAAAGAGACATTGGCAATTTCGACAAGCGCCCAAGGTTGCCTACCCCTGTGCTAGATGAATGTGTTTTCATGCACCAAACCAAGTTGAGAAAAAGTAATATTACTACGTAATAAGTACAGCGGAGAGAGAAAATATAATAAGGATAAATGCTTTATTTAGAGAGTAAAATGACTGGTACCTCTGAAGTCTTTAGAGAGATCTCCACACACATAGAGCGTCCCACGGTGGGCAGCTGCCCACACAGGGCTTTCTTGGCTTCATGGGTAACCTCTGGGATGTCTTTTATCGCCAAGTAGAACTACAAAATTAAACATGAATGTCTTAGCCTTACCCACTAGTAATGAGCTCAGCCAATCAACTAAGGCAGATCGTCTTTTCTTATCACAATAAATATTTAAAAGGAAAACACAAAAATGGATAAGCACTAAGGAAACAACTGACTAGACTTAGGCAGCAAACACTGGGTATAGGGTATACCCTCAAACCCTAAAAATAGACAGCATAACAAAAAAAAAAAAATAACAAAAAAAATTAGATTGCACCAAAAGGTGTGAAAAAGATAGAATAACATAATAATATAAAAAAGTACAAATATTCACAGTCCAAATATTGCAATCTAGATGTGCCGGTAGGTGTATAAAGAAGAAGAAAATATCCAGTAGTGCTCACTGTAAACATAAATATGTGATGCAGTAGAGATTAGAGATGTCGCAAACCGTTTGCGAACGGCTCGCCGCAGTTCGCCACGAACCGTTCGCGGCGAGCTCCAGTCAGCTGACACATCCCGGCCAATCTCCAGCGGACTCTCCCTCGCCCTGGACAGCATCCATGTTGAAGCTGCCTTCAACATAGATGCTGTCCAGGAGGTGGGAGGGAGGGTCTGCTGGAGATTGGCCGGGATGTGTCAGCTGACCGGAGCTCGCCGCGAACGGTTCGCGGCGAGCCGTTCGCGGGAAGTTCGCGAACGGTTCGCGACATCTCTAGTAGAGATATTCGCCTCAAAATCATATCCATCAGTGGGGATTGTACCGCTGCAAGCAATTTTACTTAGAGCTAGTTTAAGCTTAAGCTCTATTACATGTGAGTGCTACCTGTCATGGAGCTTAAACTACCTGTTGTGAGTCCTATTTTTCTGTCAAAACAGTCTGCACTATTATTTGTCATTTTTGTGTCTCCCTACATATGTTTACAAGCACCTCAACGAAGAACCAACATTCTCGAAGAACCCAGAAACAGCTGGGATTGCGATATTTGGACAATAAATATGTGTTTAAATAATACAGTACATAATCTCTTATATCTGGGAATGTAGCAGACAAAACACATTAAAACATTTATTTTATTAGCTGTATAAAATAAACATTTTTACAATTTAATGTCCTTATAAATGCTAAAACCATATTAAATTTCTCTTAATGGTTTAGTCACTAAACTCCAAATTAAATGGATAGTATAGGCACCAAGAGCACTTAATCTCAATAATGTGATCTGTGTGCAGTACCCCTGGCATTTTGCTCGCTAAGGGCTGAACATACCTCTGGTGGTAGTACAAGAGAATCAGAGGTAAGCAACCTCCGGGACTTCAGATATTGTGGACTACATCTCAAATGATCTTCTTGCAGCTATAATGCTGGCAAAGCATCATGGAAGATGTAGTATGAAACATCTGGAGTGCCAGAGGTTGCCTATCCTTGCACACTCTTGATGGTGCTTCCTGTGTGAGAACCAAATCAAGCTCAGGTATTGGTGTTTGACGTCCTCACGCACTGCACAAGGATGTTAAATATTCAATAAATGCTTGTCTTTGAAAAAGCATTTAATTGAAGTAGTGCAGAGTTCACCATAAATGCACTTATCATTCACAATGCAAAGAGAATTTATCAGGAATGAAGACAAAACAGGAAGTGGAGCGCCCCTGTAAGGGGTTATTTAGAGTCCATTTTGAAACAAAAAGGAGGGGGTCAATAGGAAGCGAAAAAAATAATTATTTTTTTTAAAAAGGAACACATTATTTACATTATAGTTTCCCCTTAAAGTTGAATCTAGAACCAACTCACCATATTTTATGCTAAATTCCCTATTCCTGAGAAATTCACCAACTCTAATATAGTCACAGCTTGGCTATTTTTTGCCTCAATTTTGCAATTTGGATTTTAATTTGCTTCAATTTGGAGTTTACTGAATACATACTCCTCTAAAGAAGAAGTACGAGACATAATATAAACTAGAAGCAGAGGTTTAATGGGGTCATTAAAAAAGAAATGCAGAAGGTGTGATAAAAACACACTTACCCAGTCAGAAATGATTGGCGAGGAGTCAGAAGGAGTACAGATCTTATATCCTAGTCGAGATTGCACAATCACTTGAACACACTATAAAACAATGACAAGAATTCATTTATTTACTGTACTCGTGAAGAGCAAATGAATTAACGGGCTCTCTTTGCATAACAAAAGTTACCACAGGTATAAATGCTGTCAGGAGAGATGGAGTTATTATCAGACAGCGGTAGTATATATCAGGAGAATCTGACATAGTAGCAGGTGGATTTTACACTGAATACAGTTAAATATAACCTACTTTAACAATGTATTATACAAATAATGTGATTAAGATTGTAAAATTAATACATAAATACAATTCTAAAATAATACAGATATTCACCTACAGGAGTATTTGCAAGTGAGAGAACTCACCAGATCAGGGAACAGAAATTGGACACAAATAGCTTCAAGGGTTGCTCCAAGCATCATAACATCTACACTGGGCTGATGATTTGTCTGTTACCTGGGTCCAGCTGAACCTCCTCTAATGCTGGGAGACACACATCTGGCTTCTGCAGAAACCGGCATTCTGATCCCGCTGGTCATTCATTGGCTGGTAGTGTCAGCTGAGTGCTCTCAGCCAATAACAGACCGCTAATGCATGGAATATGCACATAATTCACATAAACCAGCCTGCAGCTCTCATTCCGAGCTGGCTGATGACACTGCCAGGGGTGGAGTTACACCACTGGCAGCAACATAAAATATCTCAGCATGTGCACAGTATCAAACTGAATTGCTGCACATAAAGACTCCAAGCACCATGACCACTTCAAATCGCTGATGTCATTATATTACTTGGAGTAACCCTTTAACTGAATGAAGGGTGAATGGAATTGTGTGCAAGTTTGCTGCTAGCTGTACAGCTTCCTATTATTACATCTTGGTAGGTGAGTAAAGTAACTGAAGGAAGTGGCTTTATTCACATTTTCTAATGAATTATGTTAATAGTGTCACAGAAAGTGATATTACAGTTTGCACATGATCTGCTAGATTATTGTAACAAAAAAGGGAAGGGGGAACTGAGAAGGGATGGATCTTATTACTGTGCACTAAATTAAATATGATTGAAAATAACTAAATAGAACAACTAAGTGAACAATCACTGATAAAATCGCCTAGTTCGGGTGTTAGTGTCTTGAGAGTCATCCAACCCAACAACGATGATATTTAGCATTAGCTACTAGTCATGAAGAAGCCTACAATTATATAAAATACACCTTGTTACCTTCAGAGCAAAGAACCGGATAAACTTGTCCAAGTCTTTCCGATCTTGGGGGTCCATTGCATCCATCGGCCTGAAAGATAAAAATATGTGACATAAATAAAAAAGGCTTTGTAGAGAAGCAAGCATTTGCTGGAGTTTGACAACTTAAAATAAAACATTGAAAACCTATAACTTGTACCTGTTTTTATTTTATGTGATGCCCAATTTTCTTTTAAAGGATGACTATAGTCACCCAGACCACTTCAGCTCAATGAAGTGGTCTGGGTGCCAGGTCCCCCAGGTTTTAACCCTGCAGCTGTAAACATAGCAGTTTCAGAGAAACTGCTATGTTTACATTGCAGGGTTAATTCAGCCTTCCTGACAGCCGCTAGAGGCGCTTCTGCGATGCTCAATGCGAATATCGCATTCAGCACGCAGAGCGTCCATAGAATAGCATTGAGAAATGCTTTCCTATGGGTGTTTTTAATGCGTGTGCTGCTATGGCCGCACATGCGCATTCGGCTCCACTTGAGAGCTGACGTCAGAGGTGGAGGAGAGGTCACCGGTGCTGGATAAAGGTAAGTAGCTGAAGGGGTTTTAACACCTTCAGCCCAGCAGGAGGGGGGCCCTGAGGATTATTTAGTGTCAGGAAAACAAACTATAGTGATCCTTTAAATGTGTATTATTAAAACAATTGAGACAACATCGCGATTCAGTTCAAGGATGACCCAATCAGAGCACATATTGCATCGGAGCAGGATAAACAGACACAATGAGGGAGATTTATTGATTCATTTTTTTTACTGTTGAATAATCTGCCCATTTTCTGTGATTTTCTTCTTGCTTTTACAGAACACTCCAAACAAATAAAGTATTTCACCTCGGTGTGTCCTATTGTTTTTTTTATTTTTCTAAAAAAGTGTTGAATCAAACAGAAAACATCAATTTTATTAATGATGCTTGTTGGACAGCTGGCCCTGTTATTTTCTGGTTTGATTAACTCAGTGGAGTTAAACTGAAGAGGCAGCAACTGCCCAGAGAACCTGCCTTGCAAAGACTTCTCATGCATTGGGAAGACTGTGATTGGACAGCCACAGAATGTCTGGGCGGGGTTAGAAGGGGAGAGCTTGCAGTAGCTGCAGATAATAGGTCTGCAGCTATTGCAAGCCAACATTTCTTACACTTCCAAGTAAAAAAAAATAGCATGCATATTTTCTTTGTGTATTCATTTTTTTTCTCTTGCATAAAAGTTTTGTGCAGCACATAAAATGTATTACTATTTAATCTTTTTTTTTTTACAGCAAAATTATTGCTTTTTACAGTAGAAAGCAAAGCAAAAAATTTGCATAACTATTCACACACTATTATTATTTTGTGGCTACTTTTAAAATAAATTCATTAACCGGAAACACATTTCTGTCCTCACTAAAAGTACTTTTCAGAATTCTTTCTTAAATCTCCACCATTGTTCGTTTCTCCTCTCACTATGTGCTTTCCATGTGACTGACAGGTGTGAAGGACAGACCTTATACCGGTGACTGACAAGGTGTTTACTTCCACTGACAGTAGTGTGGGTTTTTACATATAAATTTAGGAATTTTCAGACCTCAGAAAACACATTTCTTGAATATAAGAGATAGATAAACGTGATATTAATAATCCAGGGAAATGGTGCCCCCCTTTTAATTTACGATCAACAATCAATAAAAAAAAAACAAAAAAAAAAACGAACATTAAACAGCTAATACATCTTTTATATCGAGCCCTAAATTTAATTTGTTGTTTAGTAAATAATGCTAGGTGAAGTTCATTTGAGGCAAATCTTGTTTGCAATGTTTCTTGGCACACTCATGTGTTTCATAATACGCAGAATAGACACTGGATAACTGCTGTCAGGGTTGTGTTTGTTGGCGGTATATTCAATGGATCTCAACGCTGCGTGATTGGTAGCAGCCAGTTCACTTCCTATGTAATTGCTAGATGCAGTCACAGCTTTTTGTTGCCAGCCATTCCAAGATAAGCAATTTATTAATTACATCTAAAATTCAACTAAATATTTGAAGAAATGTTCCACAGACATTTAGGAGAAATTAGTAATATTACAGTGTTAACAGAGGACATAGACATAACAAACCGAATTGGTTATGTAACACAGAAGAAGGGTGTGTGGATGAAACTAAGAACACAGGTCAGTGACAGATGACAGCTTGGATTTTATTTAAATGATTCTGTGCACCAGCAGCACTGCAGTATTTACATAGCAGCAGCAAACAGGACAAAGCACAGCTCATAACCGCCAAATGAAAATCAGGTCAAGATTTGCAAAATAGGTCAGAAAATCTAGCTCACAGCAGTAATGCCAGAAATATGGCTCGATTCTCCTCCACAAATATAAACCCGATTGTGCGGCAATGGTATATACTTTATTTACACTTCTGCAAACCCTGTTACTGTCATCGAACCTAAAAACAAGCATTAAAAATAGTAAAAAAACAAAACTCTAATTTGAGCCATTCTTTGCACTCAGAGAAAATTTTCAATACTAGACAATTATAAAATACAATCTCTCATTATGTTATAGAAATGTCAGGAGCTATATTCATTTATAAGGACACCGCAGGACACATTGCATATTGGACTGTTTGACGATGAGCAGACAATCCCGTGCTTAGATCCCAGGAGGACACTACCTTCCTGACGAACTACGAAATTTGGTGGAGGAGGAATTAGTCATCTCGGACTATTTGTAACAGTTTAGTTTTGGCTAGCATCTTAGTACTACAAGGACATTCTAGGCAAGTTGTTGCAGAAATATTCCAACACACAGTGGAGAGCCTTCACAGACCATTGGAAACAACAAACATGTAAACCATGTAATTCTTAACTCCAAGTAAAAAAAGAACTATAACAGATTAGATTGAAACAGCACATCAGCAGACCGGGACATGAGCAAGTAAGACATGTCTGACAAGTCAGAGCTAAACCCTAGACAGCAAGACAGGCCCTCTGATACATAGTAATCACTGAAGTAGCCAAAAAGCACTTTGTGGGCATCTGTTCCACATCACTCGGCAATTGACCTGAACAGGCAGCACACGGAAAGGTTAGTGATGTTGATCATAGGAAAAAACGAGCAGTAGAGTATTTAAAAGGGCTATCTCTTTGGAATGTTTGTCCACTCGGTCCCTGTAAAAGGTGCTACCTAACCCTCCAAAATATGTTTTTTGGGGTTATGTCTAAGTTTAACCTTGAGAATGTACTCTCAGAGGTTTATCCTGCCTGGTCAGAAAAAAATACATCCTTTCCATGTTACTGATTACAGTAAAACAGGGAGTTGCAGAAGCAGGATAGACGTCTATCCAATAAGGAGTCAGATAATAGATGTTAAAGGACCACTCTAGGCACCCAGACCATTTCAGCTTAATGAAGTGTTCTGGGTGCCAGGTCCAGCTAGGGTTAACCCATTTTTTTATAAACATAGCAGTTTCAGAGAAACTGCTATGTTTACAAATGGGTTAATCCTTCCTCCAAAGCTTCTAGTGGCTGTCTCATTGACAGCCGCTAGAGGCGCTTGCGTGATTCTCACTGTGAAAATAACAGTGAGAGCACGCAAGCGTCCATAGGAAAGCATTGTAAATGCTTTCCTGTAAGACAGGCTGAATGTGCGCGCAGCTCTTGCCGTGCGTGCGCATTCAGCCGAATGGGAGGAGAAGAGGAGGATCAGAGGAGGAGAGCTCCCCGCCCGGCGCTGGAAAAAGGTACGTTTTTACCCCTTTCCTCTCCCCAGAGCCGGGCAGGAGGGGCACCCTCAGGGCAGTATAGTGCCAGGAAAACGAATATGTTTTCCTGGCACTATAGTGGTCCTTTAAGGAGAATCCATAAATTGCAAAATGTGTAAAAGTTTCAGGAGAATGGCCTCACATGTTCAATAAGAAAAACAAACAGGTACGCCTCACAGAGCTGTGTCTCAGGAACACAGGTAATGGACTTGTACCCTATGTCTTCAAGAGAAGCCATCATTAAACGTTTAGATTCTCCTGTAGGTCAACAAATAATGTTTGCAGGATACAGAGGTCTGAGTAAACTGGACCAAATTATTGACTCTTCGTGACATTCAGAGACCGCTCCCATGACTCTAAGCCAACAATACATCTCAGTTTATGTCAATCAGTCTTATAATGCAAAAGTTTCACATCCATATTATCAATGTGACTGAGGAGGGAGTTATTTTTTTTTTTGTCAAACGGATTCAAAATTGCTTTACATAAAATTCAGAGTAGGATTTGACAGGTATACAACTTATTTGTTAGTAGTTCAATATATTTTGGATTTTTTTATAATGGAGTCTTGGGAGACTGATCATGAGTAATTTCACGAAGGAACAAAAGAATAAAAATTCTTGAATTCTATTTCAAAAATGGCAGTAAAATAATGTTTTTGTTTTTTTTAGGTCCTATAGTGGAAAATCGTATTGAAATGTGGTTTCAACAGGATGGGGCTACTGCCCATATAGCCAGGGACACAGTGGACCTTCTGAGACAATTGTTCAACGAGCGGATAATTTCAAGTTTCCAATTTATCGGCCACCATGTTCGGCTTGAGCTTTTAGCTCCTGATTAATTCCTGGGGGGGTATTTGAAGAAGTGGGTGTACGTCAACAAACCGCAAACACTTGAGCAGCTCAAGGGGAGTATCCGTGCAGAAATTCAAGCGCTAGAGCCTCAACCATTAACTAATTTTATGAACAATCAAATCGAAAGAGCCCAACTTTGCGATGCAGCAAATAGAGCTCATTTGAAAGATGTTACAGTTCGTACCTAGTCAAACAAATCTCCATACATTAAAGGACCACTATAGTGGCAGGAAAACATACTCGTTTTTCTGGCACTATAGTGTTCTGAGGGTGCCCCCACCCTCAGGGTCCCACTCCCGCCGGGCTCTAGGGGGAGGAAGGGGTTAAACTTACCTCTTTCTCCAGCGCCGGGCGGGGAGCTCTCTTCCTCCTCTTTAGCTGAATGCACATGCGCGGCAGGAGCCGCGCGCGCATTCAGCCAGTTCATAGGAAAGCATTCACAATGCTTTCCTATGGACGCTGGCGTCTTCTCACTGTGAAAATCACAGTGAGAAGTGCGGAAGCCCTCGAGCGGCTGTGAGACAGGTTCTCTGAAACTGCTATGGTTTATAGAAAAAAGGGTTAAACCTAGCTGGACCTGGCACCCAGACTACCTCATTAAGCTGAAGTGGTCTGGGTGCCTATAGTGGTCCTTTAAGCATTCACTGTATGTAATATCACTGAAATTGGTACATTTATAAAAAAAAAAGTTATTTACTTCTCAAACCCTACTCTGAATTTTGGTCCACCTTGTACTTAAATACTTAAGGTAACATTACCATTACACTGAGCTGTTGTGGTTATGTTGCACACAGTGCCCCTTTGAAATAGCAGTTTAGGCACCATAACCACTACAAGCCAATAAAGCATTAATTTAGCTATTGGATACAGCAGTTATTGAGCTACTAGGTTTTGGCTGCCATCCCCAGAGGCATCATAAAGCATTAGAGCAACAAATGCTTATTGTATAGGTTAGGTGCGTATATTTCTTTGATACTTTCAAACACTGACTTACAAATGCAGCAACAATATTGCTGCCCCCTCTGCCTTGGAAGCAGTGAGAAAGTTTTACTTTTATCAACTGGAACTGTGGCCGGGGTTGAGCTACATATCCCACAAACCGTGTCTGGACAATGGTTGATTTAAAAAAAAAAAAAAAAAAAAAATAACTATGTTAAGGGGCTCCAGATTGGTCTGAAAATGATCTACATTCAGCTCATTCAGTGTTTTAACATAAGCAGCAGGAACTTTAAATATATATTTTATTTCGTATAGTCTAAATGCATTATTGCATTACCTTTATAATGCGGAAATATACAGGTGATGGTGACTTTAATATAGTTACAGAATTATTTACACCCACTCGCCCCATTACAAGGTACACCCGAAAAGATATAGAGAGACACATGTAGAAAATTTCACATTTCTTTTAAATACCAGTATCTTAAATTACTAATGCTAATTAAAAATAAAACATCTAATTGTGATATTGGGCATGTAGCAATAATAATAAAAAAAGCATCATAAAGATTCACAGGGAGATTTTCATTACAACGTTCTCATGCTCCCCCTGCCAGAGTATAAGGTATATCTGTAGAACAAAGTTTTAAGGTTTTTTACTAAAAAGAGAATTACAAATGTATTTCTAATTTAAGGCCAGAGTAGCTAAAGGGAATACATAGCTAACGTAGAGAATATTTACAGTTCAAGTATTTTTGACACTATAGTCACCAAAACAACTTTAGGTTAATAAAGCAGTCTGGGTGTGTAAATCATGACTCTGTAGTTTCACTGCTCAATTATCTGCCATTTAGGAGTTAAAATCACTTTTGTTTATGCAGCTCAAGCCACACCTCCCCTGTCTGTCCCTGACACAGCCTGCATGAAAACAAAATAGTTTCATTTTCAATCCTATGCAACTAACTTGAAAGGGACACTATAGTCACCAGAACTACAGCTTACTGAATTTGTTCTAGTGAGTAGAATCATTACCTTCAGGCTTTTTGCTGTAAACACAGTCTTTTCAGAGAAAATGCAGTGTTTACATTACAGCCTAGTGAGAAGTTCACTGGATACTCCTCAGATGGCTGTTAGAGATCCCTCCTGGGTCATGGCTGCCTAAAATGCATCCAAACATTCGGTATCTCCTGCCTCTGCATGTAGACACTGGACTTTCCTCATAGAGATTCATTGTTTCAATTCATCTCTATGAGGAGATGCTGATTGGCCAGAGCTGTGTTTGAATCATGCTGGCTCTGCCCCTGATCTGCCTCTTTGTCAGTCTCAGCCAATCCTATGGGGAAGCATTGTGATTGGATCAGGCTACCACTTCTGATGATGTCAGTGGGAAGGTCTAAATGAAACCGTGACAAAGCAAGCAGCTCCAGACTTGAATACAGTAAGATTTTGCTATATTAATGGAGGACCAGGGTGGCTAGATGGTGGTTTTAACCCTATAGGGTCAGGAATACATGTTTGTGTTCCTGACACTATAGTGCTCCTTTGAAAGTTTTTATCTCCTGGTTTGTAAATTGAACTTTAATTACATACAAGAGGCACCTGTTGGGTCTAACAAGCTATTAACAGAGCAGGAGATGAGAAATTCAAAGTTAAAGGAACACTATAGTCACCTAAATTACTTTAGCTAAATAAAGCAGTTTTAATGTATAGATCATTCCCCTGCAGTCTCACTGCTTAATTCACTGTCACCTCCCCTGGCTATGATTGACAGAGCCTGCATGAATAAAAAAACTGGTTTCACTTTCAAACAGATGTAATTTACCTTAAATATTTGTATCTTAATCTCTAAATTGAACTTTAATCACATACAGGAGGCTCTTGCAGGGTCTAGCAAGCTATTAACATGGGATAAAAAAATCTTAATTAAACAGAACTTGCAAAAAAGAAAGCCTAAATAGGGCTCTCTTTACAGGAAGTGTTTATGGAAGGCTGTGCAAGTCACATGCAGGGAGGTGTGACTAGGGTTGTATAAACAAAGTGATTTAACTCCTATATTACGGCGAATTGAGCAGTGAGAATGTAGGGGCATGATCTCTAGACCAAAACTGCTTCATTAATATAAAGTTATTCTGCTGACTAAAGTGTCCCTTTAAATTTGAAATTCACTTTCAATTCTTAGTTTAGTGCATAACCCTGTGTGGCTAAGGTGAAATAGTATTCCCAAAAGAAACAAGTTTGCCTGCAAAAATGCAGCTTTGCAAGTCAGCCCTTTAAATAACTCTTGAGAATGATTATTCTATATCACGGATAGCAAACCTCTGCCAGAAAAATGGCCAGAGTTGTAGGTCAGAATTTGTGATGCCTGCTCGATATAATACTGGCATTCTTTCCTCGAGGTTCCCAGAAAATCTTTAAAAAAAAAAAAATCACCAGGACCTGGCTTCCTCTGCCGATGGAGAGCACCAGGACCTGGCTTCCTCTGCCGATGGAGAGCACCAGGACCTGGCTTCCTCTGCCGATGGAGAGCACCAGGACCTGGCTTCCTCTGCCGATGGAGAGCACCAGGACCTGGCTTCCTCTGCCGATGGAGAGCACCAGGACCTGGCTTCCTCTGCCGATGGAGAGCACCAGGACCTGGCTTCTTCTGCCGATGGAGAGCACCAGGACCTGGCTTCTTCTGCCGATGGAGAGCACCAGGACCTGGCTTCTTCTGCCGATGGAGAGCACCAGGATGTGGCTTTCTTTGCCAATGGAGAGCACCAGGACCTGGCTTCCTCTGCCGATGGAAACACCAGGACACAGCTTCTTCTGCGATGGAGCACCAGGACCTGGCTTCTTCTGCCGATGGAAACACCAGGATGTGGCTTTTCTTTGCCAATGGAAACACCAGGACCTGGCTTCCTCTATTGGCTTCGCTGTTAAAAAGGAAAGCAAAGATATCTGATTTCCACTGTTAAAAGAGGGAAAGCACTGAGGCCTGGCGACTGCTAAAGAGAGCACCAGGATGCGTACTTCCTCTGCTAATAGACAGCGCCAGGACCCGGCTGTCTCGCTAATAGGCTTAGCGCCAGGACCCGGCTGTCTCAGCTATGTGGCAGGGCCGGCTATCTCCGCTAATAGACAGCGCCAGGACGGCTATCTCCGCTAATAGACAGCGCCAGGACCGGCTATCTCTGCTAATGGACAGCACCAGGACCCGGCTTTCTCCGCTAATAGACAGCGCCAGGACCCGGCTTTCTCCGCTAATAGACAGCGCCAGGACCCGGCTGTCTCCGCTAATAGACAGCGCCAGGACCCGGCTGTCTCCGCTAATAGACAGCGCCAGGACCCGTATCTCCGCTAATAGACAGCGCCAGAGACCCGGCTGTCTAAAACATGGAGCAAGCGCCAGGACAGCTGTCTCGCTAGCCAGCGCCAGGACCCGGCTTTCTCCGCTAATAGACAGCGCCAGGACCCGGCTGTCTCCGCTAATAGACAGCGCCAGGACCCGGCTGTCTCCGCTAATAGACAGCGCCAGGACCCGGCTGTCTCCGCTAATAGACAGCGCCAGAACCCGGCTATCTCCGCTAATAGACAGCGCCAGGACCCGGCTATCTCCGCTAATAGACAGCGCCAGGACCCGGCTGTCTCCGCTAACAGACAGCCCCAGGACCCGGCTGTCTCTGCTAACAGACAGCGCCAGGACCCGGCTGTCTCTGCTAACAGACAGCGCCAGGACCCGGCTGTCTCTGCTAACAGACAGCGCCAGGACCCGGCTGTCTCCGCTAATAGACAGCACCAGGACCCGGCTATCTCCGCTAATAGACAGCGCCAGGACCCGGCTGTCTCTGCTAATAGACAGCACCAGGACCCGGCTGTCTCCGCTAACAGACAGCCCCAGGACCCGGCTATCTCTGCTAATGGAGAGCACCAGGATTGACACCCGCCAATAATGAAAGCACTATCTATTTAGACGCCCAATAAATGCCCTTACGGTTCCAGTGCCTCTCCGCACCGCCTCTGTCCAGGGGCCTTTACCGCAGGCTCGGGATACCCACCGCAGCAGCCATTACTGTTTGTGTTTTGCTGTCAGCGAGGGGGCAGCTCAGCTTTCACACTCGCACATTCGTCACGAACCCCCCCCCACCCGGAGCCTGTCAGACGGGGGAAAAAAAAATCCCTCCTTCACCAGCCTTACCCGAACTGACTAGCCAGGCTCCGAAACGGCCATTATTTCCTTATTCGTGTAATTCCTGGATTATCGAACCGGGTCTCGTGACGAATCTGCTGCTGCTAACACGGAGGCTGCATTGATTTCAGCGCAGACTGTCTGGCGAATGTGCTGTGTGAGTGTGGGATGGGTTTACCTGTACTTCCTGGATCACACAGACACAGACACAGGGCATGGACTGCCTACAGTGTAATGGGGAATATTTATTATTAGTTAAATAATCTGTTTATATTGGGGAAGGTGGTAATATAGGGTGTGTGTAGATAGGGTATATCTGTACATACAGTGATACTTCCTGGATCACCCAGACACAGGGCATGGGCTGCCTACACTGTAATGGGGAATATTTATTATTAGTTAAATAATCTGTTTATATTGGGGAAGGTGGTAATATAGGGTGTGTGTAGATAGGGTATACCTGTACGTACAGTGATACTTCCTGGATCACCCAGACACAGGGCATGGACTGCCTACAGTGTAATGGGGAATATTTATTATTAGTTAAATAATCTGTTTATATTGGGGAAGGTGGTAATATAGGGTGTGTGTAGATAGGGTATACCTGTACGTACAGTGATACTTCCTGGATCACCCAGACACAGGGCATGGGCTGCCTGCAGTGTAATGGGGAATATTTATTATTAGTTAAATAATCTGTTTATATTGGGGAAGGTGGTAATATAGGGTGTGTGTAGATAGGGTATACCTGTACGTACAGTTATACTTCCTGGATCACCCAGACACAGGGCATGGGCTGCCTACAGTGTAATGGGGAATATTTATTATTAGTTAAATAATCTGTTTATATTGGGGAAGGTGGTAATATAGGGTGTGTGCAGATAGGGTATACCTGTACGTACAGTGATACTTCCTGGATCACCCAGACACAGGGCATGGACTGCTTACAGTGTAATGGGGAATATTTATTATTAGTTAAATAATCTGTTTATATTGGGGAAGGTGGTAATATAGGGTGTGTGTAGATAGGGTATACCTGTACGTACAGTGATACTTCCTGGATCACCCAGACACAGGGCATGGGCTGCCTACAGTGTAATGGGGAATATTTATTATTAGTTAAATAATCTGTTTATATTGGGGAAGGTGGCAATATAGGGTGTGTGTAGATAGGGTATACCTGTACGTACAGTGATACTTCCTGGATCACCCAGACACAGGGCATGGACTGCCTACAGTGTAATGGGGAATATTTATTATTAGTTAAATAATCTGTTTATATTGGGGAAGGTGGTAATATAGGGTGTGTGTAGATAGGGTATATCTGTACATACAGTGATACTTCCTGGATCACCCAGACACAGGGCATGGGCTGCCTACAGTGTAATGGGGAATATTTATTATTAGTTAAATAATCTGTTTATATTGGGGAAGGTGGTAATATAGGGTGTGTGTAGATAGGGTATACCTGTACGTACAGTGATACTTCCTGGATCACCCAGACACAGGGCATGGGCTGCCTACAGTGTAATGGGGAATATTTATTATTAGTTAAATAATCTGTTTATATTGGGGAAGGTGGTAATATAGGGTGTGTGTAGATAGGGTATACCTGTACGTACAGTGATACTTCCTGGATCACCCAGACACAGGGCATGGGCTGCCTACAGTGTAATGGGGAATATTTATTATTAGTTAAATAATCTGTTTATATTGGGGAAGGTGGTAATATAGGGTGTGTGTAGATAGGGTATACCTGTACGTACAGTGATACTTCCTGGATCACCCAGACACAGGGCATGGGCTGCCTACAGTGTAATGGGGAATATTTATTATTAGTTAAATAATCTGTTTATATTGGGGAAGGTGGTAATATAGGGTGTGTGTAGATAGGGTATACCTGTACGTACAGTGATACTTCCTGGATCACCCAGACACAGGGCATGGGCTGCCTACAGTGTAATGGGGGAATATTTATTATTAGTTAAATAATCTGTTTATATTGGGGAAGGTGGTAATATAGGGTGTGTGTAGATAGGGTATACCTGTACCTACAGTGATACTTCCTGGATCACCCAGGCACAGGGCATGGGCTGCCTACAGTGTAATGGGGAATATTTATTATTAGTTAAATAATCTGTTTATATTGGGGAAGGTGGTAATATAGAGTGTGTGTAGATAGGGTATACCTGTACCTACAGTGATACTCTGATCACTCCACACAGGGCATGGGCTGCCTACAGTGTAATGGGGAATATTTATTATTAGTTAAATAATCTGTTTATATTGGGGAAGGTGGTAATATAGGGTGTGTGTAGATAGGGTATACCTGTACGTACAGTGATCGTTCCTGGATCACCCAGACACATGGCATGGGCTGCCTACAGTGTAATGGGGGAATATTTATTATTAGTTAAATAATCTGTTTATATTGGGGAAGGTGGTAATATAGGGTGTGTGTAGATAGGGTATACCTGTACGTACAGTTATACTTCCTGGATCACCCAGACACAGGGCATGGGCTGCCTACAGTGTAATGGGGAATATTTATTATTAGTTAAATAATCTGTTTATATTGGGGAAGGTGGTAATATAGGGTGTGTGTAGATAGGGTATACCTGTACATACAGTGATACTTCCTGGATCACCCAGACACAGGGCATGGGCTGCCTACAGTGTAATGGGGAATATTTATTATTAGTTAAATAATCTGTTTATATTGGGGAAGGTGGTAATATAGGGTGTGTAGATAGGGTATACCTGTACGTACAGTGATACTTCCTGGATCACCCAGACACAGGGCATGGGCTGCCTACAGTGTAATGGGGAATATTTATTATTAGTTAAATAATCTGTTTATATTGGGGAAGGTGGTAATATAGGGTGTGTGTAGATAGGGTATACCTGTACCTACAGTGATACTTCCTGGATCACCCAGGCACAGGGCATGGGCTGCCTACAGTGTAATGGGGAATATTTATTATTAGTTAAATAATCTGTTTTATATTGGGGAAGGTGGTAATATAGAGTGTGTGTAGATAGGGTATACCTGTACGTACAGTGATACTTCCTGGATCACCCAGACACAGGGCATGGACTGCTTACAGTGTAATGGGGAATATTTATTATTAGTTAAATAATCTGTTTATATTGGGGAAGGTGGTAATATAGGGTGTGTAGATAGGGTATACCTGTACCTACAGTGATACTTCCTGGATCACCCAGACACAGGGCATGGGCTGCCTACAGTGTAATGGGGAATATTTATTATTAGTTAAATAATCTGTTTATATTGGGGAAGGTGGTAATATAGGGTGTGTGTAGATAGGGTATACCTGTACATACAGTGATACTTCCTGGATCACCCAGACACAGGGCATGGACTGCCTACAGTGTAATGGGGAATATTTATTATTAGTTAAATAATCTGTTTATATTGGGGAAGGTGGTAATATAGGGTGTGTGTAGATAGGGTATACCTGTACGTACAGTGATACTTCCTGGATCACCCAGACACAGGGCATGGACTGCTTACAGTGTAATGGGGAATATTTATTATTAGTTAAATAATCTGTTTATATTCGGGAAGGTGGTAATATAGGGTGTATAGATAGGGTATACCTGTACATACAGTGATACTTCCTGGATCACCCAGACACAGGGCATGGGCTGCCTACAGTGTAATGGGGAATATTTATTATTAGTTAAATAATCTGTTTATATTGGGGAAGGTGGTAATATAGGATGTGTGTAGATAGGGTATATCTGTACGTACAGTGATACTTCCTGGATCATCCAGACACAGGGCATGGACTGCCTACAGTGTAATGGGGAATATTTATTATTAGTTAAATAATCTGTTTATATTGGGGAAGGTGGCAATATAGGGTGTGTGTAGATAGGGTATACCTGTACGTACAGTGATACTTCCTGGATCACCCAGACACAGGGCATGGGCTGCCTACAGTGTAATGGGGAATATTTATTATTAGTTAAATAATCTGTTTATATTGGGGAAGGTGGCAATATAGGGTGTGTGTAGATAGGGTATACCTGTACGTACAGTGATACTTCCTGGATCACCCAGACACAGGGCATGGACTGCCTACAGTGTAATGGGGAATATTTATTATTAGTTAAATAATCTGTTTATATTGGGGAAGGTGGTAATATAGAGTGTGTGTAGATAGGGTATACCTGTACGTACAGTGATACTTCCTGGATCACCCAGACACAGGGCATGGACTGCTTACAGTGTAATGGGGAATATTTATTATTAGTTAAATAATCTGTTTATATTGGGGAAGGTGGTAATATAGGGTGTGTGTAGATAGGGTATACCTGTACGTACAGTGATACTTCCTGGATCACCCAGACACAGGGCATGGACTGCTTACAGTGTAATGGGGAATATTTATTATTAGTTAAATAATCTGTTTATATTCGGGAAGGTGGTAATATAGGGTGTATAGATAGGGTATACCTGTACATACAGTGATACTTCCTGGATCACCCAGACACAGGGCATGGGCTGCCTACAGTGTAATGGGGAATATTTATTATTAGTTAAATAATCTGTTTATATTGGGGAAGGTGGTAATATAGGGTGTGTGTAGATAGGGTATATCTGTACATACAGTGATACTTCCTGGATCACCCAGACACAGGGCATGGGCTGCCTACAGTGTAATGGGGAATATTTATTATTAGTTAAATAATCTGTTTATATTGGGGAAGGTGGCAATATAGGGTGTGTGTAGATAGGGTATACCTGTACGTACAGTGATACTTCCTGGATCACCCAGACACAGGGCATGGACTGCCTACAGTGTAATGGGGAATATTTATTATTAGTTAAATAATCTGTTTATATTGGGGAAGGTGGTAATATAGGATGTGTGTAGATAGGGTATATCTGTACGTACAGTGATACTTCCTGGATCATCCAGACACAGGGCATGGGCTGCCTACAGTGTAATGGGGAATATTTATTATTAGTTAAATAATCTGTTTATATTGGGGAAGGTGGTAATATAGGGTGTGTGTTGATAGGGTATATCTGTACATACAGTGATACTTCCTGGATCACTCAGACACAGGGCATGGACTGCCTACAGTGTAATGGGGAATATTTATTATTAGTTAAATAATCTGTTTATATTGGGGAAGGTGGTAATATAGGATGTGTGTAGATAGGGTATATCTGTACGTACAGTGATACTTCCTGGATCATCCAGACACAGGGCATGGGCTGCCTACAGTGTAATGGGGAATATTTATTATTAGTTAAATAATCTGTTTATATTGGGGAAGGTGGTAATAAAGGGTGTGTGTAGATAGGGTATACCTGTACGTACAGTGATACTTCCTGGATCACCCAGACACAGGGCATGGGCTGCCTACACTGTAATGGGGAATATTTATTATTAGTTAAATAATCTGTTTATATTGGGGAAGGTGGTAATATAGGGTGTGTGTAGATAGGGTATATCTGTACGTACAGTGATACTTCCTGGATCACCCAGACACAGGGCATGGGCTGCCTACAGTGTAATGGGGAATATTTATTATTAGTTAAATAATCTGTTTATATTGGGGAAGGTGGCAATCTAGTGTGTGTGTGTGTATAGATTGGGTATAGCTATAGGTACAATTAATCTTACTGTAATCACACAGAACACAAGTGTAATGGGGAATATGTATTATAAGTTAATTTTATTAGTTAAATCATCTGTTTATATTGGTAAAGGTGGCAATGTAGAATATGTGTGTGTTTTGGGTATACCTGTATGTAGAATTAATCTTCTTTTAATTAGACAGACACAGTGTGTGGTGTACTCATATTGTTTATATCTATCAACAGATAATAATTATTTTAAATTGTTGTGTTTTTTTTTTGTTGATTCATGTGTTTATAATGGGACATTTGTGAATGCAGAGTGTGTTCATGTAGACGGTGTGCAGTGTAATTTCATGTGCAATGATTATTTAGGTAAACACATATGTATTGTTTGTCTTCCCCTATCAAATGTATATACTGTGAAATATTGGACTGTTAATTTAATATGTACAGTGAATAGAGAATACTATAAGCCTGTGTGCACTTAACTTACATATCCAGCAAAGCAGAATATGTTGGCTGTTGATACATAACAATAATAAAACATATTGTAAAATCCTCAGCTATTTATTTTTTATATAAAGGCTGGAAGAATTATTTGGGAAAAGTAGAAATTCAGGACATCATTGGTAAGTATGCATTGATTCATGAGACGTTGTCCTTAAATGGAAGATTTGTGTTTTGGAGTAAGCCTTGGATTTAGCATTTCTGCACTATTATTTACTTAAGTACGAGTTGTTAGGAATTGAATGAGAATTTCAAATTGTTGGTGAAACAGCCAACTCAAGACATAGATGACTTGGATATTTTTTCTATTTTGGCTACTGTAGCCAATCATTTTAAGTTAATTTTGAATACTTACTCATTTTTATTCTTCTTATTATTTTTTTTAATTTGACTAGTTTAAAAATGTTTTACTCAAGGTGTGTGGTCTTTTGTAGAATATTGAATATAGCCGGCTTGCTCCAATTGCAGAACTGTGAACCGTGTAATTTCTCTTTTACAATCCCATTGCTACTGTGTAACAATATATAGCTAGCTAACGAGAAAAGGTTGCAAAATTTTTTTTTTTAGCAGCAAATCAATACCCAGAATACTAAATTTACTTAGTATACATAATTATTAATCTCCAAAATATTTATTTTTAAACAAGAATACCTTTTTTGTTGACCACTGTTCTGTTATAGGGATAACAATAGCCGATGGGTAGCTCTCCAACTGTAGTCCTTAGTCTGTGTCCAACACAATGCTGGTTCAAGCAGTTCATCATTAAGCAACAGTTGGAAAGCTAATTTTGTCTATCCCTGACTTAGATAGAATAGGCAATACTATGGTGAAAGTTGAGGTCAATTGTGCAAATGATGTGGTTTGATTCATGGCAAAATACATGGAATTGAATGCTAATGATTTCCCTTTTCAGATATTTTCTGAACAATTGAAGATGTCAGTCTATGAGGTGATTTTTAATATCTAAGACAGCTACATGGCCATCCCTATTACAGTTCTGGACTGTGATCTCCTACTGTATGGCCGTGGACATCGCATACTTGACCGATGTAGGCTGGATGATGTTACAGATGAATACTTGGTCTCCACATATGGCTTTCCACGATCCTTCATTGACTACCTTGTTGAACTGTTGGGAAGTAGTCTATCCCGGCCCACCCAGCGTTCGCGGGCTATAAGCCCAGAAACCCAGATCATGGCAGCACTTGGATTCTACACCTCTGGGTCCTTCCAGACACGTATGGGAGATACAATTGGAATCAGCCAAGCTTCTATGAGTCGTTGTGTAACCAATGTCACAGAGGCTTTGGTGGAGAGGGTGTCCCAGTTCATCCACTTTCCACGGGAGGAAGGGTCCATACAGCGGCTAAAGGATGGGTTTTACAGTCTGGCTGGGGTGCCTGGAGTTCTGGGAATAGTAGACTGTATGCATGTGACAATAAAAGCCCCAAATGCCGAAGACATGTCATATGTGAATCAACGAGGCCTGCACTCTTTAAATTGTCTTTTTGCATGTGATACCCAGGGAGTACTGCTGTGGGCTGAAACCCACAAGCCGGGTAGCATACAAGACAACACGTTACTTAGTCAGTCTGAGCTATGCTGCCTGTTTGAGACCGAGCTACACAAAGAAGGATGGCTTATAGGTAGGCAACATTCCATGATCTTAAGTACCTGTCACAGTTTTCTGAAAAGTTCTACCTGGATTAGAAGACATTGATGCACTGCATGGTCTAGTATGTCAGGGCCCAAAATATCAGGGATTTGTGTGGCGTGTATATGCAGATCTTCCTATGTCAGCTCTCTTCATCTAGCCTCTTGCTCTCATGTTTCATGGCCCCTTTCTGTGTCCCTCTGGTTATGCCCCTTCATACCCATCCATTTTTCAATTTTACATGCCTGCTTAATATGTACACCCAGACCTATTTCTCTATGTCCTTTCTGTTTCTCTTCCATGCCAATATTACTTTATCCAGTGTAATCCCTGGCTAAAAAACACAATTGTGAAATGGAGAGTAATAGAAGGACTTCTTCAGTGAAACAAACATGTGCTTTTATTGCAGTATATCAGGTAGTTAACATGTCAGTCCACTAGTGGGACTTTTCTCAAGGCACTGAATTAACATGAGAGCAAGTATTAAATTAAACAGGTGTGACCAAAAGCGCACAACCACATGTGTGTTAAATAAAAAAGTACACGTAACCTATAAAGCATTTAATAGGAGCCAACACCTAAGGTTTGGCTTATAGGACATCCATACTCCGTGACCCTAAATGCAAAATGTGAAAACAGTACTATTAATGCAACTAATGGGAAAAAAAACAAACCGTGCCTTTTTATAACTATGTATATAAAAAACAAGTACACGGCTAAAAAGGTCTATTTATCCTTTCACGTTCTGTGAATGGGAAATGAGCCAGCGGCTCAGTACTGGCAGTAGAAATGGGTGGAGTTGCACAGAATGTGCATTATATAACAGCTGATCTCTGCAGCGCCATGCGGTATATGCTGTAGATATGTATGATGCCATCCTATACTGCATAGACCTAGACTGCTCCACACAAATCACTATTCACCAGGGCTGAGGCTTTATCAGTTAGGTAAGGTAAGCTAATTGGGGAGGCCTCAGTATATTTGAATGGACAGAATGGGCTGCAGAATAAGAGTTGGTGGATTTGTGACATGTAGTGGGAAAATATAGAAACACTGATACTGTGCACATTCATCCAACAGCACAGTCCTACACGTCTCTTATATACATCCCCACATCCATACTCTCTGACATGCCGTGGGCATCTCTTGAATAAAAAGCAACAGATCTTGAATGAGATACATGGGTCCTCTTATGTTGCTATTTTTGTTTCATCTTTATTTGTAATTATCTTTGTTTCATGTTCTTCAATAATATTGCATAGCAAAAGTATATCTACTTCAGAGGGTGCTCATTAGTGCGCCTTGATTGGTATTTTGCCTACGCAGAACTTTTATAAATAATTCCATGGTCATTTGAGGCGTGTGCATTAGGCCCTTGCTATAACAAGGCAACTTGTGATTAAGCATGTCGTGATTTTACCATTTTTAATTTTTTTTATGCTGTGCAATTATGTGATATGTTAAATGAAATTTAAAGAAAAAAAAAAAATCTAAAAAGCAAAAGGCCTATCTGTACAACACTCACATCTCAAAATGTTGCTCTTACCATTTGGTGAGTGGAGATTCAGCCCTGGCAAGGGAGTGAAGACCCACAGCTACACACAACCTGTGGCTCTTGAGTGGAGCATGCAGGTGTGTGGAATTCAATAAAAAAACTGATTAAACACAATATTTTTTTTTTCTATGGAAGGGGAAAGAGAACTTTGTTTCTACATATGAAAGTGCTTAGCAAATAATGAATATTATGTATTAAAGTGTTGACATAGCTGGTTACCTTATACTAGATCTGCTTTTTAGAAAAAATTCAAATACTCCTAGATAATGTTTTATTTTTATTATCCTTGTAGCAGATCATGCATTTCTTCTCCGGCCGTGGCTGATGACCCCAGTGCAAATTCCTGGAAGTTCCTCTGAGTATCGCTACAATATGGCGCATTCGGCCACGCACACTGTTATGGAACGTACCCAACGCGCCCTTCGATTACGCTTTCGCTGCTTGGATGGTTCTAAAGCCACACTGCAGTACTCGCCAGAAAAGGCTTCACAGATCATACTTGCATGCTGCATCCTACACAACATCGCTCTGCAGCATGGTCTAGACATCTGGACTGATTCTGGAGGGCCTGGACTGGAGCAAGAAGAGGAATGTGTTCACATGGAGCCTGTGGATTCGGAAGCTTACCGTATGCGCCAAGAAATCATCCTCACACATTTTAGCTGACCATGATCGACCCCACATCAGACATTTAATAAACCGCGAACATGAAAAATATGCATTTTTTTTCGTCTTTTTTTTTTTTTTTTGCGTTTACCCTCTAACTGAGCTAAACTGTGACTGACTGTGAATCTACCTCTGATTTGAAAATTAAGCAAATATTTCAGGTCTAAAATTTTGGCACTACTTTTGAAAAAATATTGGGGAGTGTGTCCAAATTGAGTCTCTCTTAATTAATTTGAATGCCCCCTACTCTTAGATGATAATGAGTAGCTTTGGAACTGCTTGGAATTAATTACTGAAAGGCTAGTACAATCAGCAGGGGGAGGGGGTGCAACACATATACTCAATGACTCTTATCCCTTACTCCGTGTGAGATACATGAGAGATTACCATAACCTAATTACAACTGTATTTGCAATTGTCATATTTATTGAAGATCAGTCTTTTTGAAATTTGGCTATTTTAACTGAGCATATGTCATTCCGTACAATCCAGGGTCTTCAAACTAGGGAGCTGTCAATTTTGTCTAATTATCACAGTTATTTCCAATTTTTGAGCTGTGTATTTTCATTGTTCCTTACCAGATTTCAGACTTTCACGTTTACATTTACAGGATTATTCACCAAAGTGAGAATTTAAATTGAATTTCAATTTAAGGACAAAGTACCTGAATTGTAAATATTCTCTAAGTTAGCTTATGTTTTCAGTTTAGCTACTTTCGCCTTAAATTTGAAATTCACTTTTAATTCTCTCTTTAGCAAATAACCCTTAAACCTTTGTTGTACAGCTATACCTTATACTGTGACTGACTGTCAATCTATATAATGCTTTTATTATTATTATTATTGCTAGATGCCCAATATTATAATTAGACTTTTTATTTTTTATATTCCATCTTTTTTCCCCCTTTGCTTTATACCCTCTAACTGAGCTATACCGTGACTGACCGTTAATCAACCTCTGATTTTAAAAACGGGCAAACATTTAAAGTCTAAAATTTAGGCACTACTTCAGAGAAAGTGTGAAAAAAGTTGTGTCCAAATTGAGTCTCTCTGAATTAATTTAAATGCCCCCTACCATAGCTCATAGATGGCAAGGACTAGCTCAAGAATTGCTTTGAATTAATTACTAAAGGGCTAGTACAATCAGTGTGTGTAGGGGGTGCAACACATCTACTCAATGACTTTCAGTTATCACTTACACAGGAACCGACCTGTATAATCGCCTAGGGCCCAGTGGTTAAAATTCAGTGGCCCCAGAAACCATCCCTATGTGATAAATGAAGGGGAGGGGGGAGAGAGCTGTTAGCCTGCCTAGATAGTAATCCTTTTCTGGACATTGACGTTCACGTAGGAAGGGCACAACAGTAATGTAACACAATATACATGAGCCATGTGCACGTTACATAATGCCTCCCTGTGCCATGTGATCTATAAGGACTAACCAGAAGACCGATACAGTTGGCACTGAATATGTTACCTATGCCATTTACGCTTGACATTTGTGTGTGTGGAGTAACAGCCACACATCACTGATGAGACCACCAAAGGGCAAGCTACTCTTTAATTTCCCTCCAGCCATTTGCAAGCTGTAGTTCAGCCCTAGCAACAGTGCCATAGATCCACACAGCCTGTGCTACAGCAGCTTGTTAAATATAGGAGCATGGCTGGTATCTTCAGCCACGAGAGAGAATTGCCATTAAAGGGACACTATTGGCACCCATTGAAGTGGTCTGGGTGCAGTGTCCCTGTCTCTTTTAGCCCTGCAATGTAAAACACTGCGATTTCAAAGACAATGCAAGGTTTACATTCCATGATTAAAGGACCACTCTAGGCACCCAGACCACTTCAGCTTAATGAAGTGGCCTGGGTGCCAGGTCCCTCTAGGATTAACCCTTTTTTTTTATAAACATAGCAGTTTCAGAGAAACTGCTATGTTTATAATAGGGTTAATCCAGCCTCCAAATCCTCTAGTGGCTGTCTCATTGACAGCAGCTAGAGGCGCTTGCGTGATTCTCACTGTGAAAATCACAGTGAGAACATGCAAGCGTCCATAGGAAAGCATTGTAAATGCTTTCCTATGAGACCGGCTGAATGTGCGCGCAGCTCTTGCCGCGCATACGCATTCAGCCAAAATGAAGGAGCGGAGAGGAGGAGGAGAGCTCCCCGCCCAGCGCTGGAAAAAAGGTAAGTTTTAACCCTTTCCTCTCCCCAGAGCCAGGCAGGAGGGGGACCTTGAGGGTGGGGGCACCCTCAGGGCACTATAGTGCCAGGAAAATGAGTATGTTTTCCTGGCACTATAGTGGTCCTTTAAGACTGTCTGCCAGACAGCCACTAGAGGCGCTTCCTGCTGTTCCACGGAGTTTGACTCTGTAATACAATGCTGGATGTCCTCACACTTTGCATGCATCCTCAAAGTTCCCATAGGAAAGCATTGATTCAATGCATGTGCATTAGATTCTCCCTTGGCGGTAACATCACAGGAGGCAGAGATGGAGCCTATAATGTTCCCTTAAACAATGGGGTTTCAAACTCTGTAGAGATAGTAAATATCAGCCACATATGGACACTTCATACCTAACAACATTTCAAATGGGTAAAGTATGACACTTACATTTTAGGGGTGTGGCCAAGGGTGGGGCTGTTCTGAAAAAGTTTTGATGATTCATAATAATTTATGCAACTAGTATGTAATTTAGAACAAGAACAATGTATCCTATTTACACAGACTGATTGCTAAACACGTATTATTGTAGTTTAAAGACACGTTACTTGGCGTATTATTGCTGTGGAGCTCTGTTATAAACTCAGATGCAACAACTATACTGAAGTCCTAGAAAAGAGGGACATTAGGATAGAAAAAGGGACAGAGGGATTTGGGCCCAAAACAAGGACACTTGGGAGTTATGCAACGCAGGCACTGTGTAGGGAGAATACCAAAAAACACCATTAGCATAACCAAAAAGATAGATAAGTGCAAGGAGGCAAAAACAAGCTTTACCGTTCCTTCAAAATACATGAACTTATTGATTACAGTTCATCAAGTATCCTTGTAAATAATAGTACAACACTGTGAGCCATTCCTGTGCATAGTACAACACTGTGAGCCATTCCTGTCCATAATACAAGACTGTGAACCATTCCTGTCCATAATACAACACTGTGAGCCATTCCTGTCCATAATACAACACTGTGAGCCATTCCTGTCCATAGTACAACACTGTGAGCCATTCCTGTCCATAGTACAACACTGTGAGCCATTCCTGTCCATAATACAACACTGTGAGCCATTCCTGTGCATAGTACAACACTGTGAGCCATTCCTGTCCATAGTACAACACTGTGAGCCATTCCTGTCCATAATACAACACTGTGAGCCATTCCTGTCCATAATACAACACTGTGAGCCATTCCTGTCCATAATACAACACTGTGAGCCATTCCTGTGCATAGTACAACACTGTGAGCCATTCCTGTGCATTGTACAACACTGTGAGCCATTCCTGTTTATAATATAATACTGTGAGCCATTCCTGTACATAATACAAAACTGTGAGCCATTCCTGTGCATAGTACAACACTGTGAGCCATTCCTGTTTATAATATAACACTGTGAGCCATTCCTGTCCATAGTACAACACTGTGAGCCATTCCTGTTTATAATTTAATACTGTGAGCCATTCCTGTCCATAATACAACACTGTGAGCCATTCCTGTTTATAATTTAATACTGTGAGCCATTCCTGTCCATAATACAACACTGTGAGCCATTCCTGTTTATAATTTAATACTGTGAGCCATTCCTGTTTATAATTTAACACTGTGAGCCATTCCTGTCCATAGTACAACACTGTGAGCCATTTCTGTTTATAATATTACACTGTGAGCCATTTCTGTTTATAATACAACACTGTGAGCCATTCCTGTTTATAATATTACACTGTGAGCCATTCCTGTTTATAATTTAATACTGTGAGCCATTCCTGTTTATAATATTACACTGTGAGCCATTCCTGTTTATAATATAATACTGTGAGCCATTCCTGTTTATAATACAACACTGTGAGCCATTCCTGTTTATAATATTACACTGCGAGCCATTCCTGTTTATAATTTAATACTGTGAGCCATTCCTGTTTATAATATTACACTGTGAGCCATTCCTGTTTATAATTTAATACTGTGAGCCATTCCTGTTTATAATATAACACCGTGAGCCATTCCTGTTTATAATATTACATTGTGAGCCATTTCTGTTGATAATACAACACTGTGAGCCATTCCTGTTTATAATATTACAATGTGAGGCATTCCTGTTTATAATATAACACTGTGAGCCATTCCTGTTCTATATCACCACACTGTGAGCCATTCCTGTTTATTATATTACACTGTGAGACATTCCTGTTTATTATATCACACTGTGAGACATTCCTGTTTATAATACCACACTGTGAGCCATTCCTGTTTATTATATCACACTATGAGCCATTCCTGTTTATTATATCACACTGGGAGCCATTCCTGTTTATAATCTCACACTGTGAGCCATTCCTGTTTATTATATCACACTGGGAGACATTCCTGTTTATTATATTACACTGGGAGCCATTCCTGTTTATTATATTACACTGGGAGCCATCCCTGTTTATTATATTACACTGGGAGCCATTCCTGTTTATAATATCACACTGTGAGCCATTCCTGTTTATAATATCACACTGGCAGCCATTCCTGTTTATTATATTACACTGGGAGCCATTCCTGTTTATAATATCACACTGGGAGCCATTCCTGTTCTATAATATCACACTGTGAGCCATTCCTGTTTATTATATCACACTGTGAGCCATTCCTGTTTATTATATCACACTGTGAGACATTCCTGTTTATAATACCACACTGTGAGCCATTCCTGTTTATTATATCACACTGTGAGCCATTCCTGTTTATTATATCACACTGGGAGCCATTCCTGTTTATAATCTCACACTGTGAGCCATTCCTGTTTATTATATCACACTGGGAGACATTCCTGTTTATTATATTACACTGGGAGCCATCCCTGTTTATTATATTACACTGGGAGCCATTCCTGTTTATAATATCACACTGTGAGCCATTCCTGTTTATTATATCACACTGGGAGCCATTCCTGTTTATTATATCACACTGGCAGCCATTCCTGTTTATTATATCACACTGTGAGCCATTCCTGTTTATTATATCACACTGGCAGCCATTCCTGTTTATTATATTACACTGGGAGCCATTCCTGTTTATAATATCACACTGGGAGCCATTCCTGTTTATTATATTACACTGGGAGCCATTCCTGTTTATTATATTACACTGGGAGCCATTGCTGTTTATTATATCACACTGGGAGCCATTCCTGTTTATTATATTACACTGGGAGCCATTGCTGTTTATTATATCACACTGGGAGCCATTGCTGTTTATTATATCACACTGGGAGCCATTCCTGTTTATAATATCACACTGGGAGCCATTCCTGTTTATTATATCACACTGGGAGCCATTCCTGTTTATTATATTACACTGGCAGCCATTCCTGTTTATTATATCACACTGGGAGCCATTCCTGTTTATTATATCACACTGGCAGCCATTCCTGTTTATTATATTACACTGGGAGCCATTCCTGTTTATTATATCACACTGGGAGCCATTCCTGTTTATTATATCACACTGGGAGCCATTGCTGTTTATAATATCACACTGGGAGCCATTGCTGTTTATAATATCACACTGGGAGCCATTCCTGTTTATTATATCACACTGGGAGCCATTCCTGTTTATTATATCACACTGGGAGCCATTCCTGTTTATAATATCACACTGGCAGCCATTGCTGTTTATTATATCACACTGGGAGCCATTCCTGTTTATTATATCACACTGGCAGCCATTGCTGTTTATAATATCACTCTGGCAGCCATTTCTGTTTATTATATTACACTGGGAGCCATTCCTGTTTATTATATCACACTGGGAGACATTCCTGTTTATTATATCACACTGGCTGCCATTCCTGTTTATTATATCACACTGTGAGCCATTCCTGTTTATTATATCACACTGGGAGCCATTCCTGTTTATTATATTACACTGGCAGCCATTGCTGTTTATTATATCACACTGTGAGCCATTCCTGTTTATTATATCACACTGGGAGCCATTCCTGTTTATTATATTACACTGGCAGCCATTCCTGTTTATAATATCACACTGGCAGCCATTGCTGTTTATTATATTACACTGGGAGCCATTCCTGTTTATTATATCACACTGGGAGCCATTCCTGTTTATAATATTACACTGGGAGCCACTCCTGTTTATTATATTACACTGGGAGCCATTCCTGTTTATTATATCACACTGGGAGCCATTCCTGTTTATAATATTACACTGGGAGCCACTCCTGTTTATTTTATTACACTGGGAGCCATTCCTGTTTATTATATTACACTGGCAGCCATTCCTGTTTATTATATCACACTGGGAGCCATTCCTGTTTATAATATTACACTGGCAGCCATTGCTGTTTATTATATTACACTGGGAGCCATTCCTGTTTATTATATCACACTGGCAGCCATTGCTGTTTATAATATCACACTAGCAGCCATTGCTGTTTATTATATTACACTGGGAGCCATTCCTGTTTATTATATCACACTGGCAGCCATTGCTGTTTATAATATCACACTGGCAGCCATTCCTGTTTATTATATCACACTGGGAGCCATTCCTGTTTATTATATCACACTGGGACACATTCCTGTTTATTATATCACACTGGGAGCCATTCCTGTTTATTATATCACACTGGGAGCCACTCCTGTTTATTATATCACACTGGCAGCCATTGCTGTTTATAATATCACTCTGGCAGCCATTTCTGTTTATTATATTACACTGGGAGCCATTCCTGTTTATTATATCACACTGGGAGACATTCCTGTTTATTATATCACACTGGCTGCCATTCCTGTTTATTATATCACACTGTGAGCCATTCCTGTTTATTATATCACACTGGGAGCCATTCCTGTTTATTATATTACACTGGCAGCCATTCCTGTTTATAATATCACACTGGGAGCCATTCCTGTTTATTATATCACACTGGGAGCCATTCCTGTTTATTATATTACACTGGGAGCCATTCCTGTTTATTATATCACACTGGCAGCCATTGCTGTTTATTATATCACACTGGCAGCCATTCCTGTTTATTATATCACACTGGGAGCCATTCCTGTTTATAATATCACACTGGCAGCCATTCCTGTTTATTATATCACACTGGGAGCCATTCCTGTTTATTATATCACACTGGCAGCCATTGCTGTTTATTATATCACACTGGGAGCCATTCCTGTTTATAATATTACACTGGGAGCCATTCCTGTTTATTATATTACACTGGGAGCCATTCCTGTTTATTATATCACACTGGCAGCCATTCCTGTTTATTATATCACACTGGGAGCCATTCCTGTTTATAATATTACACTGGCAGCCATTGCTGTTTATTATATTACACTGGGAGCCATTCCTGTTTATTATATCACACTGGCAGCCATTGCTGTTTATAATATCACACTGGCAGCCATTGCTGTTTATTATATTACACTGGGAGCCATTCCTGTTTATTATATCACACTGGCAGCCATTCCTGTTTATAATATCACACTGGCAGCCATTCCTGTTTATTATATCACACTGGGAGCCATTCCTGTTTATTATATCACACTGGGACACATTCCTGTTTATTATATCACACTGGGAGCCATTCCTGTTTATTATATCACACTGGGAGCCACTCCTGTTTATTATATCACACTGGGAGCCATTCCTGTTTATTATATTACACTGGGAGCCATTCCTGTTTATAATATCACACTGGGAGCCATTCCTGTTTATAATATCACACTGGGAGCCATTCCTGTTTATTATATTACACTGGGAGCCATTCCTGTTTATTATATCACACTGGCAGCCATTCCTGTTTATTATATCACACTGGCAGCCATTCCTGTTTATTATATCACACTGGGAGCCATTCCTGTTTATAATATCACTCTGGCAGCCATTCCTGTTTATTATATCACACTGGCAGCCATTCCTGTTTATTATATCACACTGGCAGCCATTGCTGTTTATTATATCACACTGGCAGCCATTGCTGTTTATTATATTACACTGGGAGCCATTCCTGTTTATAATATCACACTGGGAGCCATTCCTGTTTATTATATCACACTGGCAGCCATTGCTGTTTATTATATTCCCCATTTACAATAATAGTACAGCTGTTATATCAGTGAAGGTGCCCTCTCCCTGTAATTAATTAATTAAGGAATAATAACACAATATGACGTGCTAGCAGTTTAATCTGGGGATAAAGCAGCCACAATGCTAATGAGCCAATGCTCCTCCTCAGCCTGACTCGGCGCTCGGCTAGTCTGCCCTGGGCTAGACACCGCCCTCTGATTGGCTCAGGCTGATCCTAGTTGGCCGCCTATCGATGCGCTCGGGTATCCGGTGCGTTCTTCTCTCCGCTGCTTTGGTCTGGCGGCCGCCATTGCCCCGGTTTGTTAGTGCTCCGGCTGTCTGGCGCCACCGCACCGCCTTCCCGTCTCCCTCCCCGAGCTGGTAGCTCATAATCCGGGCAGCTCGGGGCTTCCAGGCTCCGGACCGAGAGACAGCGGCCTGCCCGGCCTCCCCCGCATCCCCGGGCTGGAGTAAAGGCCCGCCGCCGCATCCCCGGGCTGGAGTAAAGGCCTGCCGCCGAGAGGTGAGATACCGGGGGAGAGAGAGGGAGATAACGGGGGGGAGATACCGGGGGAGGGAGATAACGGGGAGAGGAGATACCGAGGGAGAGGGAGAGATACCGGGGATGAGGAGATACCGAGGGAGAGGGAGATACCGGGGAGGAGGAGATACCGAGGGAGAGGAGATACCGGGGGAGGGAGGGAGACAATGAGGAGAGGTGATACCGGGGGAGGGAGAGGAGATACCTGGGGAGGAGAGGGAGAATGGGAGGAGGAGACACCGAGGAGAGGAGATGTCGGGAGGAGAGGAGATACCGGGGAGGGAGAGGGAGATACCGGGGAGGAGAGGAGACACTGGGGGAGAGAGGAGATATGGGGGAGAGGGAGATACCTGGGGGGGAGAGGAGACACCGGGGAGAGAGGAGGAGACAATGGGGAGGAGATGTGGGGAGGAGGAGGGAGATACCGGGGAGAGGAGATACCGGGGGAGAGGAGATACCGGGGAGAGAGAGGGAGATGTGGAGATACCGGGAGAGAGAGGGAGACAACGGGGAGAGAGGAGATACCGGGGGAGAGAAGTAGATACCGGGAGAGAGAGAAGTAGATAAATCGGGAGAGGGGAGATACCTGGGGAGAGAGAATGGGAGAGAGAGGGGGAGACACCGGGGAGAGAGGGGAGATAACCGGGGAG